GAGGTGTAGTCGTCGTGATCTATCTCTATCGTCCAAATGCTCTTTGATGCGAACGCACGGGGGTGGGGGGCGCGCCGTTTCGCCAATGTAGATACGTGTCGCCGCAGGCCGCGCAAGTGATAAGGTAGATGATCCCCAACGTCATACAGTCCCCGCTCCTGCCCGCAGGGCAGATAATTCAATTGGGCGTCATGCAGGTGCGATCGTAGATGCGATTGCGGACCAAAATACTTTTTAGGTTATTTGGGGGTATCTCCACTATCCGCAACAGAGTTTTCTAACCCGCATCTTCTCAGACACTGTCTGAACGTAATGCTTACTTCATCGGAGATATAAGGAACGCTGAAAGGGATCTTGTCAACTACACTAGGTCTGTTTGCATGGGGATGATGTTTTTCACGCCGCCCTATCCTTGTAGCATGGTATTCGTAGCCGTTAGAAGCCGCTGTTCTACGAGCCAACACAAGCGATTCCGTCCTTTCCTGCTCACTGCAAACTCGAGAAGCTGTACGAATCTGGGATGAGTTACGAGCGTTCAAATATGAGAAATTTTTCGAGTTTCGACGATTGTATTTCCTTGAAAAGCAGCCTAATGGCGCGGATTTACAGTGGCTATGGTTATTCTAATTACAAGGAAGGAGATTCACCAAAAACCTGAATGTGTGTCTTCAAAATGTATTTCATGAGCTCCATGAGAGTGGGAAGCCATATTTAGTTCATTATTTGTGAAATTTGCTAATTTACTTATCTGTCAGCAGAAACTTTCAAAAGGCTTTCAAGTGCAAAAACGTAGACAATGAAGATAACGCTATTAATTTTCGGATTAGGACTTTTGGAGATACGATTAAAGTATCAGTATGTAGATTCCATAGCTAGAATTAGATTTTCTTCATTGAGAGTCAACACTCCAATCGAGCTGTTCAGCATAACTCTGAGAAAGTTGATGGCGTGGACGAGCGTGCGTAGTTCACCAGGGTTTGACCTTTTATACTTGCACAATATGATTTTTTCAAAATTAACGATTATTTGTACCAGTTTTATCGGGGGGGGGGGGGTTGCAGAGTTCGAGCTACAGGAATTGGCACAGGAGTAATTGAGCGTGCTGATTACTAACAAAGCGGGAATAGGAAATAGGCATGTAGAAGTGTCGAAGGAAAAGACTGTACAGTAATAGGGTGGGACCTTTATCATAGTGTTTTGACAGGGCCGGGCAGAGCCGAGCAAGCTAGCTAGTCTCATATATAAAGCTGAATGTTTGTTTGTATGTATGTCTGTATGTATGTCTGTATGTACGGTCGCTTCATTCCATATGATCATGTGTGTCATTGCACACACAGTTCACCTTTGGCGTCCCCATCCTGGATTCGTGGGAGAAACAAGCCTTCAGGTAAGTATTTCCAAGGTGTTCTTAGCATTTTCTTTCCTTTTTAGTCACTAGTCACCTCAAATTGATATAATCGATAACAATTGGTAAGTCTCTTGCGTTTTTGCAATTGCAAATCCAGGATGAGGACGCCAAAGAGGACTGTGTGTGCAGTGGCACACATGATCATATAAAATGAAGCGACTGTATGTACGTATGTTCCGAATAGAAAATTCCATTTCTGAACCGATCCGGACCAAACTTAGCACACATACACTTCGGGCCCTAGCGGGTGTCATGGGCTACTTTTCGTCATCGATCGATATCGATTTTATCGATTTTTTGCAAAATTTGAGCTACAGGGCTGGGAGTTGACACAGGGGGGTAATCGAGCATGCTGATCACCTCCGTGGGGGTGATCAGCATGCTCGATTACATCCCTCTGCCAAATTCCAGCCCCCTAGCTCAAATTTTGCAAAAAATCGATAAAATCGACATCGATCGATAACGAAAAATGGACTGTGACACCCGCCGGGACCTGAAGTGTATGTGTGCCAAGTTTGGTCCGGATCGGTTAAGAAATGGAATTTTCTATTCGGAACATACGACGGAGCCGGGTAAGCCAGCTAGTATATTAACAGAACTCAATATTCTTAGTTTAGAGGCTATGTGCGTTCTAGAAATGGCGCCGCTCAACCGATTCAGCTGAAACTTTGCACACATATGTTGACCCCTGCGCAGGTGATAGGCCACTTTTTGAGGCGCTTTGTTGGGTCCTTCTATTGATTTATTGTTTGTTTGCGTGCTTCTGATCTGAGGAGAAGAAGGCGTATCATGTTTGACCAAGCATTTCCCCATGGTCATGTAAAGGAGGGCGGTGAAGCGCATTTCCACCCCAGGATCATGAGGATGCGCAAGGTAAGTCATCCATAACATGGAAAAGGAGGGGTTCCACAATGTTTCACAATGCGGTAATCTTCATGACAGACGTAGCATCTACTTCGTCCCCTGTGAACAATAGCCCGGGCTGGATTGGGGAAGCCAACTATAATAGTAAACATATATTCGTGATTAGTATTTCGACATTAGTCCGATGTTTGGTGTGGCTTGGTTAAAGGCAGTGTCCGGGCAAGATGGAGATTTTGGGACTTCAGTGCCATGCGAGAGTGACCCCCCTCAGACACAACATCGCGCAAGTGCAGCGTCATAACGCTCGACCTAAAGCAAGAAAAACGACCGGAAAGTGGGAAAACTTACGCCTTGGGGTGGGGTCCTCCAAGCTGTCCGAATTCCTGCTATGCGGCAGACTCAGACATTCGCGGTTAAGTCCCGCAGGAGATTCGCCCACAAAATGAGAAATCGCGAAAAAATCGGGACTCCTGCGCTACACCCGGTTTTGTCCCGACTTTCGGGACTATCCCGACAGAAAATTTGAAGCGGGAGATTACCGGGAATCGCGATTTCGGGGTGCGCTCCCAGTGTCTGAGCGTAAAGGATACTTGCGTGAAATACGACGCATGGTCAGACTACCCTCAATGTCCACAACTTTGGATGTGTTTCTAATCTTACACGCAAGAACACCATCAATATGTTGTCTAAGGGACTCGTCATACTTCGCCGAAAAAAAGCCCAAAGAAGCCCGAAAAAGCCCAAAAAAGCCCGAGAAAGCCCAAAAAAGCCCGAAAAAGCCCAAAAAAGCCCGAAAAAGCCCAAAAAAGCCCAAAAAGCCCGAAAAAGCCCAAAAAAGCCCAAAAAAGCCCAAAAAGGGCCAAAAGCGCCAGAAAGAGCCGGAACACTTCTCGCACGTTTTGGCGCTAAAGCATGTGTGTTGACTTCGCAATCGAGCCTTTTTGTCATTTTCTGTCGTCCGCATGATAAGATAATGTCAGAATTCTACCAAAAGTTCGTTTCTACATTCCGGCTCTTTCTGGCGCTTTCGGGCTTTTTTGGGCTTTTCGGGCTTTTTGGGCTTTTTGCGCTTTTTTGGGCTCTTTCGGGCTTTTTTGGGCGCTTTTGGGCTTTTTTGGGCTTTTTGGGCGCTTTTGGGCTTTTTTGGCTTTTTGGGCTTTTCGGGCTTTTTTGGGCGCTTTTGGGCTTTTTCGGGCTTTTTCGGGCTTTTTTGGGCGCTTTTGGGCTTTTTGGGCTTTTTTGGGCGCTTTTGGGCTTTGGGCTTTTTTGGGCGCTTTTGGACTTTTTTGGGCTTTTTCGGGCTTTTTTGGGCGCTTTTGGGCTTTTTTCGGCGAAGTATGACGGGTCCCCAACGGACGACCTCTGATAGGATCTTGTCGTTATCCAACTTTGAACTCGGACTTGGTTTCCGAAGCTGCTGTAGGGTGGCTTTAATCGAACTTTGTATATGAGTGGGAGTCGCGCCGGTGATTGGATCGCGACACCATCGGGACTCCCGCAGGAGCTCCCGGTTTTCCCAGTAGAAAACATTTCGGGGCAAAAGCGCATGTCGCGCAGTATTATCCCGAACGAAATGTAGGAGTCCCGGTTTCTCGCGAAGCATTTTACTTGAGTCCCGCATTCATTCCGTCGGGACATAACTTTTTCATCGGCGGGACTTAACCGCGAATGTCTGAGTCTGCCTGGCGGGGACCGTCGAGTTTCAAATTATAAGGCTTTGGAAAATGCATGTTCTCGCCGTTTTTACGCCTTATAATGTAGATTTTCGAATTGAGCGTCCCGAATAACCTTCGGTAAGTGGATTTCCCAGAAATCGAGTTTTTGCCCGGACGCTGCCTTGAAGTCCTGACCATTCCCTGCTTAGTCTTGAATGGTGTTGTTCAACACTGGATTAAAGAACTCGTACCTCTTCACGAGCTCTAGTGCCCTTATCTTTCTTCTGCATGCGAGCGGGTATTTCGGCATACTGAGGTGCCAGCTCTAAGCGGAAGCGTTGGTGAGCAATCGCTAGGCATTCGCACTTTAGCTCCGCTTGTGAACGATGACTACAGCAAAGGAGTAAAGGAGTTCCAGGCGAAGGCGACCGCTGGTGCGCAAGCACATACTAAACCATCTGATTTGCCATGGACTAGCCAAACTAATGGTGCATTGCACATCTAGGTAGAAGCATCATTGATAATTTTACGGTTCGGTGGTTTGCAGATGCGCTCTAGTACAGACGGGCGCAAATCTCAGTTTTTGTGTAGTTACACCACGGAGTTTATGATGGCGGCTAATTAGCGCTTTTTTCTTGTTCGCCAGCTGCTTACGACATGCGATTGCGGTTGCGGTCGTACGCGAAGATTGAGATTGTAATCAGTTCTAATTCAAAAGGGGGAGTTCTCACCAGCTGCAAGTTTGCATCCATAATTTCTGCATAGTGTGCTTTTGCACTCTCAGGACTTTTGAGGAGTTTCGATCCAAGTGCAGAGAGCTGGAGCCGCGGCCAGCGCCTCGTAAATGGCGCAATTGTGAACGACCGGAAGCGGCACGATGGGGGGCGGCGGAGCTCGCCGCGTGCGGCTAGGCGCGCGGCGGAGCGTGTTTCATGGAACGCGCCCTTCGAGTGGATTGGTTTTGAATTGCACGGCATCGTCATCGCTAATTTATCCAAACTTTTCCGCATCTCATTCGAAATTGGCTTTCTTGCTGCCGTCCCTTTCGATTTCTAGCATTTCTGCAAGTGCCTGTTTCAGTTCTGATGTATTGACAACCGTTAGCCTGACCAGGACTGGTATGGTCCTTCGTTTTGTACGCAAACCGCGTGGCGGCTGCTTGAAGCTGCTCTATCTGGCTGGATTCGCATGCTTATTCCTCTTCCTTTCTAGTCAACTGAAGAATTCACAGTCGTTTGCGAAGGCGATTGTTGCTCCCTTTGAGAAAGTTCGTTTTTTCTTCAAGAAATCCTCTTACAGGCACATGCTTATAATTATCTTTTCTGTGCAGGAACGAGGAGTTCATCCGTTGCCGGACGAATCGAAAGAGTATGCTAATCATGAACACCCTGGAGGTGCGCAAAAGGAGCAAGCTCCACTTCCGATAATAAAAAATGAAGATGGTGATGGCGTGGACCCTGATAGAGTTGATGGACCTGATGCTGTGTAAGTCTTGTTTCACTCTAGAACACAGCTATCGTTTTCGCTCAAGTAAGCAGAACCAAAGAAGTGAAGACTAGGTAAACATTTTCCACCATTAGCATGTAACATTTCTTATCTGCTGAAAATCTCATCTTCGCCTTCAATCTCCTATCGGCTAAAATTTCTCGCGGACAAAAGGTTATCCTAGTCTCTGTGTGGTCAACCAATATTCAGAATACACTCAAAACCGTAGCATATTGAGGGTGCACATAGATTCTTGGGTTAACTCAACTGAGAGTTATCCTCAAGGTCAGTGAAATAGCATACTAACTATCTGAAGGAGGTTTTATTCAATAGTGACCTTTATGTTATTTTTAGGGCCTACAAAGCTGATCAAGAACAAGAACAACTGCCAGTAGTAAACGCAATTGCTCCAAATGATGTTTTCGGCAAGCAATTGCAAAACATCGTCAGAGGAGATCCGGATGATGCCTCCTACCCACATTTGAATACTAATGGCAAATTCATCCCAAATCGGCGCATCATTCATTTGGATTTGAAGGGAGGCGCTTACAAGGTAAGGTTCCATCATGTTTGGAGTTATATGGGAGTATTCCATCATATCCGATTTTAGCCGGAATTCTTATCTGAGCTGTTCTACTTTTTCAATCGAATAAGAGCAACTGGAGTGTTGATTGAGTGGGAGGACATGTTTCCATACACGGGAAATCTGTCGGATGCTGTCAACGGAAATGCATACTCGATGGAAAGCGTACGTGATTTTTTCGGTTTTCGTTGGATTTTTTTTTCAAACTACGAACTACCATCAAACTCCAGTCGTTACAGTGCAGATCTAATCCTTGTCTGCTTTTTGACACAAAATCTTTCAAGTAGCCAAATTAGCTTTTACTACTCGAAAAGCCTTTTACATTTTGCAGTGAAACATCCGTTTTTATTCTTCCTTTGAAAGCTAGCAGTCGTACACAAGCCGACTGACTGGATATGTAAATAAGTTGTAATTTTAGGTTGAGTACATCTTGAAAGAAGCTAAGCGCCATCATCTAGAAGTTATACCTTTGGTGCAAACATTTGGACATCTTGAATGGGTTTTGAAACTTGAGAAGTTTGCTCATCTTAGGGAGGATAGCAGATTTCCTCAGGTAGTATGTTATTCAGCTTTGATTCAGTCTTTTTTTTTGCGTGATTCTTGGATTTTATCTACGTTTTTGCGCTTATGAAGAATTTGTATCTAGGTCATTTGTTTTCCTGAGCCAGAGGCATGGGAGCTGATAACGGATATGATCGATCAAGTCGCCACAGTGCACAAGAAGATTGGAATGCCGTTCTTCCACATGGGAGGGGACGAAGCTTATCAGGTACTTTTTGCTGGGTCATTTGTGTTAAACAAATTCCAGTGGCTGATGTAGTTAGAGGAAGCGAACTTTTTGCAGGGAACTTTTCGATCTCGCGCGTAAGGTCAGATAGTAAGCTTCGCTTTTGCTGCTAGCATTACTGAAAAGGTATCCTGGTGAAAAAGGCATAAAAAGATTGGTTGTTCCTCAAGTCGTTTTACTAAGCTAAAACACCTTTTTGTCTACTCTTTTATGATTACTCAGTTCGTTCATCGTTGCTCAAGGCGATACCAACCAAAAAAGCATGTTGCATCCGTTGCAGCTGGGCTATCGGATTACAAAGCAAAGAATAGCCCTTTGTAATGTTATTTCAGGTCGGCGTGTGCAATGCTAGCATAGCGGAAATGGGTCGACAAGGATCTAGGGATCGGCTGATGCTTTGGCACATCTCTCGAACAGCAAAGTATATCAAGGATAAGTACAGTGTGAGTTTAGTTTCCGGATACCACTTTTTATGAAGTGTGAATATAACGGTCGTTGCTGTGCACATTTTTATGGTTATTAGGAATTGATGTACCTATGAGATTTTGATTGCATTATCCTCTCAGACCAGTGTAATGGCGTGGCACGATATGTTTGGTCATGCGATGGAGTTTGATTTGGCTGCTTATCACATGCCAGAAGTCTTGGAGCCAGTGTTGTGGAGCTACGCTGAAGACCTGGATCTTTATCTACCGAAAAGTACATGGCTCACATTGAAAGTATGTACATATGTTATAGTGGACAACTTAAACTTGTCCTGACATGAATTCCCAACAAGTTTTTATGGTTATCGAGCTTTGTGAACTTTCAGCCCTTTCGTAAAGTATGGGGTAGCTCTGTCTGGAAAGGAGCTGATGGTCCAGCTCGTTTCAATTCCAATCCTATCCATTACATACGCAATAACGAAGCTTGGATAGAACAGATGACCAGAAATTACAATGAATTTGATGTCATGCAGGTTGGTCTATGGAATTCAAAGACTTCTTTTTCCAGTAACATATTTCAGGGATTGATTTTTGCCGGATGGTCGCGTTATGACCACTTTGCCATCTTATGCGAATTGGCCCCAGTTGCGTTGCCAACTCTTGCCATGACTATGGAAACCGTTTTGGTGAGCATATCAATTCATTTCGATTTTTCACTTGGACATATTCAAATTTGGATTGTCAGGCCTTCACAGATTTCTGGTCTGTATAGCATCTCGTCCAATATGGGTATGTAAAATTTTCCGCGTCTCTAAAAAAACAAGTTTCTTTGGGTTTCACTTCGATCAGGTAAATGGTCTGTTGTAGGTCACTTTAAGTCCTCTACAAAAATGTCGTTGTTGATTGGTGGAAAAAGTCGGCCACATTGTTTTAAAAGTGTTCCTCTGTTGTCCAGTCAAATGCATACTGCTGGATTTTTTCGGGTCTTTGTTTTTTTTGTAAGTCTTGCCACCCGGGATCTAGGCTCAGTCGCTGTTTCTATTCTTTACTTCTGGTACATGAAATTCTTTGTTGAGAACTACTTGCGCTCATTTAAGGAGGGAAGACCTTTGCAAGGGAATTACCCTCTCTCTCGAGACGCCCTTCAGTGCACTCCTTCAACAGCCATGGGAGCGACTTACGGATGCACTTTTCCTGGTCATAGGGTTAGAAGGTTTTTGTTAGAGGTGTAGTTTAGGCATCACGTATTTTTTCAGGTGTACGAGCTGATAAACGAGTTATGGCAGCGGAAACGGCAGTTGCAGCAATACAGAGACGATGATTTCGAGCTCAACGGGTGGCTATCTAGAATAGCTGAAACATATGCCAGCGGCAGTCAGTGGTATATAGATGTGAGTTTGTTATGATTGGTAGCAGATATCACCTTAATGATTGTCCAGAAAATTGAACCACTTCTCGACTATCATGCAAAGCCCATCTTTCGTCTGGAAAAAGAGCTGCGAAACGAACTTTCGCGTATCTATTATCAGGTAGATCTTACGCTTTGACTTTGGGCCTCATCTGAACTTTGCTTAGAATTCCTTCGGTTATGTAATTTCTGTAGTTTGTAGTATAACTGCATTTTGAAGGAAACCATAGACGAATTCATCTATACCTATATGGCGGAAGATATTGAATGGCTCGAGCGCAAAATCCAGGCTGCAGCGAGAATATCCAAACTTGGGCACTTTCCGAAGCGGCCGTTCGTTCGGTTAAAGGCACACGAGGAGCTGTGAATTTCATCTCCTATCGGTTCTCTATCGTAAGCTGAAAGAATCTTTTTTTAACATCAAGACCAAAGATTCGCTTACAACATTTGATCAGGTGTTCCAGTTTCAGTATTTGCGACTATTTATTGTTAAGCCTTTCAGCAACGGATATCTCGATGTGCTTCATTTTAAGTTTCGATTTCAATATGTTATGTCTTAATGTTCTGAGATCTGTATCCCTAGTATGACTGCTGATTCCAAAGTTCTTGGTAGCTATGTTATTTGATACTCTTACGCGTTTCTATAGATGACCGGTGCTGTGTTAGTGCTGTGCATAGCTTTCCTTCATTACGTCTAAGTGAGCTTTCTCAGTTTGTGCTGCTGTGATAAGAGTCTCACTACTTGTATGCCAAATACTGTTCTGCATTCTAACGAATGCGTTTAGGGTGCATATGGAAAAATAATCTCATTTCTCATTTTTCCTGGATCGAAGCATTTTCTTGTTAGGTTATGCTGCAGTTTTCGATTGTTTTCGCTGTGCCTATGCTGTGTATAAGCCTTTGCTTAGCTTGAACTACTGACTTTGATCAACGATTTGATGAGTGTATGCTGCTTAAAAACTTAATTTTCGGGTGAAGACGATTGATGAAAAATGGAACCAAGTCTTCTCAAATTTTCTTTCACTTCGTTGAGAAGTCATCTAATTGTGGACTTGGAAGGTTTAGATATTAACTGACGATTATGTGTTTGTGTGTGATACGCCAAAGCAATATTCGATAAACATTGCGTGGTTCGTGGATTGGCACAACAAATTTCTCGAGAAAGTGTTTAACTTTGTAAATACTACATATGTAAGTAACAATTTGCTCACACCGTAATCTAGAGCTTTACTCGGTAAATTAGGCTCACTGTCCATCCAACCAACTCATTTGCGCCCGCCGAACTTTGTGATCTTAGTGGCAGTCGCACTATATGGAAATTGTGTGCGTTGTACTGAAATTAGGTAATCCATGTTCAATTATGATCGTCTAGATTCGTGTAGAGACGGGTTGCGGACTTTTCCTGATTATAAGGATCAACTTGTCAAACCTCTACGTTATAGCATTGTTTTTCGTTCTCTCTCGATATCAAAAACCGCCGCGCTTTGAGCTGCCACGACTCCACCTCTACACGAATCGTGGAGCCGATGATAGAGACATATTATTGTGAATTTTACACCCTGAAGCATGTAAAAGACCAGACATTTGATTTCTTCTATAGGTGTCAGGGTGTAAAAACTAAAATGTGAGAATTTTGATTTGAAAATAGGTTTTAGTATGGAAAAGAGGGAAGGATCGATAGCGAACGTTTTTTGCACGGTTGCGGCTGCTTTTGCGCTCGCTTATACCGCGACCGTTGCCATAGTTCGATCCAGGTTACGGGCAACTATAACTTTACCCTGGGTAGAGGACTATATGTCGCCGAAAAAGGGCGGTCCTCGCGGTCACTTGCGACAAGTACGCACCCTTATACACGCGCGGACATGCGTTCCTGCATGGAATCCGCGCGGGACTCTTCCAAATTCGGCGACATATAGTCCTCCACCCCTTTACCCTCAGTAATCTAGGTTTCAAAGAACAATCTAATCATTGCCATAATACTTTTGTACCCGTGCAGCGGTAATTTGCATAGGCGGGATGATCACCATGCAGTTCGATGAGCAGTGATCAAAGTTCAATGATTTTGGATTTGGCGCTGACACAAAAACAATCTATCTGGGGGAATCAACTGCGGCGCGTCAGCCATATACTCCTAGTCTTTGAGATGCTTTCCAAAATTTTTGCAAATTCATATGCCCCCTCTCTCCCCTTTCGGTCCGCCGCTGCAGAGCATCTTGTTTCGCCTGCTAAATTCCCCAAAACCTTATGCCGTGCAAAGCAGTGTCTGGCCAAGGGGTTGTGAGGTATTTTTCTCAAACCAAAATGCACCCTATCAAGCAAGTGCCCAAATGACACGTCAGCTCCGGAAGTGGTAAATCGACTGGTCTGTTTGTGTGTACGCCTAGTGGCGGAGTCGTTGTACTTCTGTACTGCTCGCTGCAGCTTGCACAACTCCATATTGCATCCGCTGGGACAAAAGATGAGAATGATGAGAATGGGTCAGTTGATTATTTCGCCCCGGTGTCACGACATGACTTTGCATTCGGAAGTATCTTAATGAAGGGATCCACGCGGAAAGAACATTATCGCCAGGCATGCATTCGGCGCCAGTGCAACGTATTGATATCAGTGTGCAGTTGAAATCGTTTATGACTTGTGCGTTTGCACATCGCACAGCACCAACACTCTCCCAATTTTTACCAAGCACGTTGATTGTTCTTTGAGGCCTGCTTTCGTTTTGAGCATTGTTTCTCACAGAATAATGTAGTGGTTAACATTAACACAAAGCACGTGTTTCACGCATTTGCTGCGTAAATAATGCATTCGTAGTTGATGGGGAAACAGTGGGATGATCATTCAGTAAAAATTTTTTGTCAGTATCCAGTAATGATTTCAATTGTAGAACGATGTTATCAAGAGAGCTGGTGGAATGCGATCATCAATATACATCTGTTTAGCTTCTTGCACACCTCACACTATTCTACTCGCTGCGCGATTTGGCAATTCTCCACTTATTCATAACTTCGTAAATATAGCCGATTTATCGCATGCAAAAACAGGCCGTCACTATGGATGCTGTCTTTCGCTGGAGCGCTCTTTCATCCCTTCTGCTTTATGCTGTCTCTCCCATGCACGAACTATCTTAAAAGGGAGGGTCACCAAGTCGAAGTGTCCGATCACTACAAACCGCACACCATTAGCGATGCTCACAACACTGACTTCAACTCTCTCCGTATCTGCAGAGCATGAGGAAGAAGTTATGGGCATGTTTTTGAGCAAAAGAATGAATTACTGGTCGAGATAAAACCAATCGCTACAGCCTTTCTAGACGTCAAAGAACTGGAACTATTGATATGTAAGGCAGAATAAGTTTATAGTACGAAATACCATGGTACTTGCCGCTGCTTCATTCAAAGTCTAGAGAGGCTGGTTCGACCAGACTGTAGCGACCATTTTACCCCGGCCAGTGAATTAATTTTGAGCCTTAAAAAATGCTCATAACTTTTTTCCCGAAGATGCTCTGCAGAAATGGAAAGAAGATCTGGATTCAGCGTTCCAAGCTCTCGCTAATGGTATGCAGACTATAGTGACCGGAACTTTGACTTCTGACCCTTTCTGTTAGGCGGACGCAACGGCGTCCAGTCTGTGCGTACTATGGATCGCCTATAAATGTGCAGCAGTTGGTTGTCAAATACTATGCATCGTCGACCGCGAATATGGATTTGGAAGCATTTGGCAACTAATCGTGTAATCAATGAAATCGAGTGAAGTATGCAAAAGTAGCATGTTCATGCCTCAAATGAAAGCAAAAGATGAAGTGTACGTATCTCGGGCATGTATGGGTATATTCGATGATGCGCAGTGCCTGCGCATTAACTGGTTGAGTGAGCGCTCATGGCAGGTGCGCTATAGCTTGGGTGCAACAAGAGGTGAAAGAGCTGGCGTCCTGTCAGCCACACGCTCCCTTGCTCCGTTGTGCCAGTTTTTCACCACATCGGTTGCTGGCCAAATCCCTTACATTCACCATTATTGATCCCACTTTTAATCCACTTTGCAGCCTTAATGTTCGCCGCATTCCAAGTCATTATAGAGTGGTCTATGATCTTGCGCGACAGCCAGTTTCCACATGGGTGTCAAGGGAGGTCATTATGTCCACATCCGTTTACGACTTATTCAGCACTGTTATTACAATCCGTTTGACTTGCATAGCTATGTAAACAGAAAATCGTTCGCCCTTTAGGCTTGAGATATACCTGACGGCAGAGGTATAGCGGGTGTTAGCGAATCGCTGATGTCTGCGCTGCCTTTAGCTGCTCGTGGCTGCTGCGCTGATTACGCTATGGGTGCAAGAACGAAGTAGCTTTACCCGTTACTAGCTGAGCTTAGGATATTAAGGAAAGTAAGTTTTGACAATTACCAAAATTGAGAAATATGATTATATGATATCCAAAAAAGTCGTACTGTTTTCACCAAAAAATTTTCTTTATAACAAGCATAAAATGGCAAACCAAATGTTGCATATACTGTGAGCTTAATCATTTGACAAATATCAAGCGAGTGATGATGTTGATGACCTTGATGTTTGCTTGAGGCAACATCTAGACTATCTAGGTCATAGCAGCCTGTGTTGAGGTGTACTAATATCCCACTAAATCGTTGAAATCCTCTAGCTCTTCATCGTTACTCCAATTTGACTGTGCATTTGTTCACTCATTCTTTGTCGACCTTGTCATTTCTTTATCTATTTTACCGATGCATTTGCGTTTCGGTCTTGCAAGTTTGTCATAGTTCATCAGTTCCGAAGTAAGTACTCTAGAAATCCTTCAGAAGTTCAGAAATATGTTAAAAAGAGGCAAATCCGGGCAAAATCAGCGTTAGCAGCTCGAAGCAGCTGAGAGAAGCTCACCAAAAGTGAGCTTCATATCGCGTAGCAGCGAGGAGCAGCAACGAGCAGCAGGGAGCAGCAGGAAGCAGCTAGAAGCAGCGCAGCATCGCTAGCTATAGCGGGTCTGCTTCACGTTGGCTGCAGCAGCTAGGAGCAGCAGCGTCGCCTGGCGTCAATCGATACGTACAAAAGGCGTTGCTGCTGGCAGCGTCTTATCGTCAGCTATAGCCATCCATCGTCAGGTATATCTCAAGCCTTAGACTGGCTACTATGAGCTATGAATCACCTGAAATGCGATGAAGTGAACATATGCCTGCAAATTACAATGTGATTGAGATTTATTGATTTTGAGTGCGGGTTTCGCGAAGCTTCATTAGCACCTTTGTCCCTCGTCTGACCTCAAGGCTTTGCTAGTGTCATAAACATAATGTGGAAAGTCTTCAAAATAGATCTCAAGAAAAAGAGACAGATCACTTGGTGTAAACAACTTGTCGCTTTAGCCTGCTATTGACTTACATTGAGAAATCTTATTCAAGTTTTTCCGATTCAAATATCTCATGTCTTCCTGGAAAGCGGCTGTAGTGGATTTTGCGACACTTTTTCGTACGTCAAAACTCAAGCTCGCAAGCATGATAGAACCAATGTGAAGAGTCACAATCATTTGAATGTTGCGAGTGGAATGCATTTCTCTAAACTCGAGTGAAATTTTCAAAGTAAAAAATTATAGTCGATTCGCTGACCGCACGGACTGAACAACACTGTGGAGTACGCGCCACTTAAAACACTGGCACCAGTACAAATTCGCCGTGTAGAAGTCGGTGCTCTCGCGACATTTTAGCCGCGTTGCGCGTGGTCCGCAACGTTTCAACAGTCCGTGCGGTCAGCGAATCGACCGTAAATGGTTAGGACCTAGGCAGGTAACTACCGCCATTGGTTTTTTCTTTCTTTTGCCACTTTTTCTGCTTTAAGCTTTGGTATATGAATTTTCATCTTCGACAAACTTCCGATATTGCGCACATGTTTTGCCGTTCATTTCTTTTCAAAATCTCATTGTTTTTCTCTCCTTCAGCTATGGCTTTGAACACCCAGAGTCAACTATCAGCATTGGACCAACATGTAGCTCCAGGATTGCGCTTATGGATGTTGATCGCCCTCGTCTCCGGCGTGCTGCTGATCATGGGTAAGCTTACCATCCTTGGTTACAACTTTGTCCCAGGTTTCTCACCTCATTGGCCTTGTTGGTGTAGATAAAAAAATGTCTATCCATGATTTTTTGTGATACACATTTTGGATGCTATTGAAGCGTGAGATCTAACCATTAATTGTCCTCTGTCATGGGATTTGTGACGGTCTTTGCATGCTGTCATTTTGAATTTTATTCTGCAATTTTGGCTCTGCGAAACTTTTTCATTTGCTTTTCCTAATGCATATTCACACCCAATGCGCTATCATGCAAAGATCTTGCTGTTAAGTAAAATATTATGATATGATACGCAAAGGCCCTTCATGAGGTGTCGTATACTGAAAAGATGGTAGCCATAAATTTGCATTTGCTTTTAGCAATAATATGTCGTGCATCATCAGTGCGCAAGACGGCAATAAATACTGTAATATTCGTGTCCCATAACTGAGCGAAAAATATTCTCGTATTACATGTCATCTACGATCCTTGGTGTCGTTACAGACTTTGTGTGTAACAATCTCAGCAAATGTTTTCTTTTAATTAGCACTTGTTTCCTCTATCTTCTGCAGACTACAACACTAAGCTTCGTCATTTTCAGTCGTCCTTGTATGTTGCTTCATGCGAATCAGAATACCACGAACGAAACGTCAGATCGATTTGATTGCCGCGAAGCGAAAGATGAGGAACAAAAGTGGAAAAGCTGCAGCACATTGTAAGTTTTACCACTTTCCAGTATGAATCTCAAGTAAAATCAAGCAACATACATTCCAAATCTAGCTGACGAACGTAGTCAAGCGATAGTTATGAATTCTATGCGACCGAAAGCGAGTACTAGCACAAAGCCTTCCACTTCGCACCATGGAGTGGACGAACAGCCGCTGGTGCACAAGGGCTCCAAACAACATACCGAAGTTTGAGCGGTATTGTCAAGTGTATATATCGATGTTTGCCTTTCGTATAGCCTTTTTATGTTTTTATGACTTTTTTTTTCACCTGGTTATGGTGCCTAATCTAGCAGATATTTATTTCTGCCGTTATTTGTTCTCATCATGTCACCAAAGCAATGTTTGTGAGTGACTGCTAATTTTCTTGGTAGTACCAAAATATCAAATTTGTTAGTGTTTTAGTTTTATAACCGTTATGCATCTGAACTCAAAATGTAATGACTTACGGCTATTCTAGTCAAGCTTTATTGCCCTCAAGGTGCTTTATGTGCAGTAGCGTCGATCTCACTTTGTCTTGCCAGCATGCTTTTGAGCAATAAAAGATTACAGTTAATTGTCGACATGCTTTACAGAACTGTCCCCGTTCAGAGCTTATTATTTGAATCAGTAAGAGTCAAGCCAGAAAAATAAGAAAGTGCATGGTGCTTTCCGAAATTTCGTACGATGATATCTGGATAAAAACTGTAAATTGACTTTTTACAATATCCAGGTTTGTTGTATCTGGCCGGACGAATTTTTTCTACAGAGCTTATAGTTTGACCTTTTCGAAGAAGCAGCGAACAGCTAATGGCTGTTCGCTGCTTTCATGACTAATTTCACACCATTTGTGTCTCAGCTCAAGTCTTTGGTGTCATGATCTTAAACCTTTGGCCGGCATTACAATCGTTTTCATCATTTCCAGCGCGCATTTTTGCTTGCCCATCAGCCATAATTTACTGTTGATTTACTGTCATTTGTAGTCAAAGAAAAATTATGTTCGAAGATGGACGAACGTAGTCAATTTTTGGCGGAGGCCGCGGCTCAAAGAAGGGAGCGAGAACTTCAACGTATACATAATGACGTTGCTATCAAGCTACAAGCACTTGCTCGAGGTTATCTGGCTAGGAAAAAGTTTGTCGATGGCATACGGTAATCTTAATTCTTCGATATGATTAGTTGTGGTTGAGCATCAGAGTTGTTTTAGAGCAACTACTGCGGACAAGCTATGCCAGTTTACTGATTTGGAGAAGACGGGAAAAACATTGCTTAACAATGAAGAGGTGCTGAAATGGAGTCAGCTATTCTTGCGGATAAAACAGTTTCCCAGGGACAGCGAGGTATGATCCATTCTGACTTTTTTCACATTATGCTGATTACTCGAATGAGTAGAATTCTATCCGCCTGAAAGTGAGCAAACTACTTTTCCCAAACTTTAGAAGCGGCTAAAAATTCTTCGAAGGCTTCTCGGGGAAAACCTTATACTTACTTTTACAGCCAGATTAAGAAATATGCAGTTTTAGTTTCACTCACTCATATCTTTTCATTCATAAATTTACTCGTATAAGTTGTTATTGTATCTCTGTACTCACCATCGGACCCTTTTATTACGAGTAAACTTATCAGTTTGCAGATCTTGGCTCAGCTATGTCGACACATTATACTCTCTTTGGATTCGTCTTCTAAAGATTCGAATTGGGCTACCATGTTTCTCAACAAAGCAACGATAGCCCCTGCGAGTAAAGTTATCTCGAGCATCATCTCTTGTATTCCTGAGTCGCTCATGTATATTTCGGTGAGTGAATTTTATAGACATCGTTTCCTGCATCAATCAGTTTTCTCCAGGGTGCCCGTGTTTCCGAAGTGAAGACATGGCAAACTTACATTCATTTTTTGATCGTTTTTGGCTCATGCAATGGTTGGCTTCTTGTTCGCAATGCGCCTCAGGTAATTCCTTCCACTAGTATCCAGTTTTCTTTCGCTTTCTTTACGATTAAATACATTTTGGAACCAGCATCAGCGCGATCCACTTACGAGATTGTGCTTTGTTTGTATAATCTTTACTGATCTACCATACCATCGGTTATGCACATTTTACACTTTATCTGTTATTTAGATTCAAAAAGTGCTCAATGATCTATGCAGTAAGTTGTGCTGCTCACTTGGGGAAGAAGCAAACTTCACAAGGCTAGCAGTAAGTCCATCTTTATGAAAATCTTGAGTTTATGAAACTTTATGGCAATAGTGCTCTACAGACGTATGTATGTTTTTTCTCCTATTTCAAAAGTGTGTGAGTTCTATTAACACTGTTGATTTGTTACTTGCAGAATTCTCTATTCCTTGCATCAAATGAACACAAACCGGTTGTAAGCAGTCAGGCTCTGAACGCCTTGTTCTCAATCATATTGAAGCTGGTAAAAAACGATTCTTCGTTGCTGCCGATTTTCATAACCCATGTCCTTACTTGCCCTGCCATCATTCTACATTTGAATAAAGCGGTGAGTGTCTACAATCGTCAGTTGTTGTATAAACATGTTTTTCTTCCAGAATCTTGACTTACTTCTGGCCTCTGGTTTATTTGATAAATGTTTAACACATTTGCGGAACTCATCGGAAGTAGTAGAAGGAATAGAGCCTCAAAAAACTATTAACTTGCTAGGGAATGTGATTCATCTTGGGTATTTAGATGAAGAGGTAGCATAAACATGCTTTTGTATGATTTTTTGATGTGTAGATCTTCCAGACAGTGAAAGGACGAATCGTTGATTGGACTTGGGTGATAGGATTAGCCATGGCTCAATGTACAGGTATCTATACCACTTATTGCTGCTTCTGTTCGTTTATATAATTGCACTATGTATTCTAGAGTTTGCTGTTCGTCTCGGTGAGCAGTCGAGTCATAATCACTGGCACCCAATATTTGGTCACTACAAATTGCCCATTGACCCTAAGTATAAAATTTTCAGCTTTTTTTTTTCTTCAAATACTTGTTTTTGTTCTTAGAACGGAGAGGTCACTGCGTAATGTGCAGAAGCAGCTGCAAATGCTGTGGAGCTATAAGATTGTATGTAGACTGTTTGATAAAGCTCTTGAAGGAGTAGATCAGAACCGCCCGAATGGTCATGTACAAGTGAAAGAACTTGGAGCCACTTTTAACAGTTCGTTTCGCCATAATTCGGTCTTCAAAGAGATGAGAAATTGTTTCGTTTTAGAGCTTTGGAAAAAGTTGGGTGGAGGTTCCAATCTTGACTCTCCACATATTGGCGAACTTGAGAAGGAGACTCCTCCAACGTTGGCTGCCATTGTTTGCAAGTTGTATATCACTGCCTTGTCAACGATGGCCAATATGAAGAACGAAATAATTGCTGGTAGGGAGTCGTTACTCTATGACAGTCACATTGTTATTTTTGAATGGTTTTTGCTTGAATCACCAGAATTGCATTTGTTAGGAGTGTGTCGTGAGGATAGAATCCTTCGACAGTTGTGGGCATATCTTGTGCGATGGGGTGGTGATGGAAAACATTCATCTCCTTCATCGTCTTGTTCACCTCTGAATGCAGCTCTCGCTCTTCTGGTACGCTCTCAAAGTCCTCATGCTGCTCCGATTCGTTTATTCGCCGACGCTGCTGCCATAGTGATCTCGTGAGCTGCATAATAATTTTTATTTCCTTTGTCTTTTACTAAAAATTTTTCTTTAGCATACTGGATGAAGAAGAGCTGTACGAACGCGGAGTTCCTTTTCCTGTTGAGGAGCTTGTGAATATTGCTCGGTTCTGCAACTACTTTTGCTTTCGAGCTGTCTGGAATGGTTACGTAGGCGAGTCATCTCGGACATTCTCTCCTAGTTTGAATTATTTTACTGTTTTGAGATGACCGATCGTCCGACCAAGGTCTTTTTTCGAGCATCCATCAGCTATGTATGGTTCTTCATGTACGCGACAGCCGAAGAACTTTCATTAATGATCCAAAGTTTTGGTTAGCACCGTGGGTTTTCAATTTTTCATGCACTTAGCAAAAATGTTATGATTTTTTGAATGGCAAGACTTTTCAGAGATGTGAAGGGCTCAGTGCTGATGGCAGAGTTTGAGAAGAAAACCACGAGAGGACTGCTTTTGATGCGGCGGATGAGCCACCTGATATCACTCAAGGAGCGAATGCTGCTGTTTAGGAAGTTCGTCAGCGCTGACAAGGTATGCAAGCGTCTCGTAAGATTGAGAATGCTATCAGCTCATTTGCAGGCCAACATTGAATCGACAGCTACACTGATTACGGTAGCTCGAAATCGGTTGGTAGAAGATGGATATAGGCAGCTGTCGATGTTGTCTACCCGAGCTCTGAAGTCTACTATACGTGTGAAGTTCATTAACCAGCAAGTTAGTCACATCATTTTATCGCTTTAAAGGCATCTTGCACTCTGAGTTGGAGTCCTGAACTTTTGGCAACTTACGACAGTAGGACCCCAATCAAACCAATGCCCAAGTCGCGGTTCAAAAAGTCGCTTCGAAAGCGAGAAAGTCGTTTCGGGATAGTGAATAGGCATGAGGACCCCAAGTCGGCATTGCCCCCTTTAGTTATGCCCGCTCATTTTTGCGCGCTCATCCAATCATCGTGCCCTGAACCGACCTGCGTGTTCTGCGGAACGGGGATTGTCGGGGTTCTTGCGGTCTCGACTTCATATTCGGAATCAGGGGCTTGAGAAGGCCCCGGAATGACCAAAACAGGGAAATGAATCTGGAAGGACTGTGCTTTTTTGCAAGGAATAGTCGTGTTATATTGGCCCATTATTTGAAACCACCTTATAAAATTCAACATTTAGGGTCTCGATGAAGCGGGTATAGATCAAGACGGTGTATTCAAAGAATTCCTCGAGCTTACCATAAAACAAGTTTTTGATCCTGCACTCAATCTGTTTCTGGTAAGCTTAATCTGATAATAACGGAAATTATTAGTCCTCATGAGTGTTCTTCTAGAGCACAGCGGCTGGAGTGCTGTATCCCTCTTCGACTTCGAGTGTGCACGAAGATCACTTGGCACTCTTTCAGTTTGTGGGAAGAATTTTAGCGAAAGCTGTATACGAGGGTATCGTCGTGGATGTGCAGCTTGCACCCGTCCTGCTGGCTGCTGTATGTTTAGCTTTCTTCTTTGCTATCGTCTCAACTCTATCCTCATATAGATGCTTGGAGGGCGACGTTTATGTGCTTTTGATGAATTGTCGCAGTTGGATCCTGAGCTATACCGCAATCTTACTTTTGTAAAGAAGTATGAAGGTGATGTCAGTGACCTCTCTCTGACATTCTCAATCGATGAGGACTTTATGGGCAAGGTATGTTGCTTTATGATCAGCGCCGAAGCGATCGTGCGCAAGCAGTGGTTCTTATAGTTAGAAAAATTTTCGTTGGGCGTCGACAGAAAAGTTATCTTGAAGCTTTTCAAGGCATTAGCACTCCCTTCCCCCCCCCCCCCTCTTTCATGATGTTAGAGAAACTCAAAATTACCTCAGACGTTACTTTTACAAGTAAATGCTTATCTCATCATTCGAATTGTGCTCAAGCCAAGTTCCTGCCTAAAATAGAAGTCAGCTTATAACCAGCTCATTTTGATCATTACGATCAGCTGTTCCCCCTTATTTCCATGATTCCAGATAAATACGGTGGATTTGGTACCAGGAGGACGAACTATACAAGTCACTAATGAAAATAAGTGAGTTATCGACACTAAAATTCTATGATTAACAACAAATTGTAATTTAAAAATTGTATTTTAGGATTGACTACGTCCATCGCATGGCGCATCATCGCGTCTTCTCACAAACGAAGCAACAATGTCGCGCATTTGTTGCCGGCGCTCAGTCCGTGCTGAATCCAGCCTGGCTGTTTCTGTTTTCGCCACACGAGCTTCAGTTTATCATCAGTGGTTATACAAGGTATCTCCGCGTTACTGCATTGTCTCAAGTGTGTTTGCCTTGTATTTCGCCTGTTTATCTGCCGCTAGCAGATGGAAATCAGTCTACAACGACCATTTCAACTCTTTTATTTCATCATGCCAAATGTAGTCAGGTTCATGTCAGAGGGTTGAATATCAAATCTGTTATTCCAGTGACATCGATTTGGCGGATTTGAAGAAACATGTACAGTATTACGGAGGGTTCCATGGCAGCCACCGGTTGATTAAATGGCTCTGGGAGATAGTTGAGAAGGATTTTACTGCCGATGAACGAAGATTGTTCCTCAAGGTACTGACAGAATAGAAATTTCATTCGCTTGTTCACTGCTGTATTTTAAGTTTGTAACAAGCTGCTCACGTCCACCATTGTTAGGATTTTCATACCTCGAACCGCCATTTTCGATTCGCTGTGTGGAAGTTTCTGATGATCAGGTAAACTAGAATCGTATAATGAGCCTTCATTCATCTATAATTTGTTGGCTGGTCGCTTCATTTCTCGGTTTCAGGATCAAGGTGACACCCTAGGAAGCGTCGTACGAGGTTTTCTTGCCTTGAAAAAGAGTCAGTCTTCATCGCGTTTACCTACAGGTTATTCGAAACATAATCCGCTTTCTACATTGACAATGTCGATTTTATCACAATTTTCAGCGTCAACGTGTTTCAATCTTTTGAAATTGCCAAACTACAACAAGAAGTCGGTGCTTTTATCGAAGTTGCGATATGCAATCCATTCGGAGACTGGCTTTGAACTCAGCTGATTCGTTTTTCGTTGTATATAGCTTCAGAGATGTGTCTATTAACTTATATTATGTGCATACTTCATCATCAATCATCACTATGTTCGGGTTGAGTACTGAGTGGTGATTTTATCAATGCTTTTGTAAGTATTCTCTAGGGACTCGTTAGTTCCAGTAAATGATTAGCGAAGATTTGCGTCTTCATGCTAATCCAAATCTCGTAACATGCAAAATCCCTTTACGATAAATAGGTACGGAAAAGCAGGAAAAATATATGAGTAATGGCAGATGATGAGGATAAACTCAGGATAGCAAGAACAATTTTTGGAACTCTACAAGGAATGCATGTTCAGTCGAAATGGCCTTTCAGATGGGATGTATACCGTACTGAAGGACATAAAATACTGGTTTTAATCTGTCTTTTTTATCTGCAGAACGTTTATGGACGAGAAGTTATGAGCAGTTGAGTAAAAAATTGAATGTGCAAGTAGGACAAAAATAGCCGTAATACTTTTTCTAGCTCTTCAATGAAGCAGGGGTAATCATCAGAGCATTCATTTCATAAATGCTCTAAAATAAAAAAATATACCACACTTGGTTGCATTATTTGAGGGCTAATAAGATCTAACAACTTATTTTATCCAAAATGCACATTCAGTTTTCGGCTCCAAGGAACGTAAATCTTCCGCTTTCAACAATTTTCCACAAAGGAAGGTGTCAAAGTCGAAACGGTCAATCGCCACAAAATGCTTATCATCAGTCAGAAATTGAAACGCCGAAATCTGCTTTTCCCACCTACAGAGCCTCTGGAAAAGAATTTATGAGTATTTCCTGAGGAGAAAAATTGAACTATTTTGGGGATGAAATACAACTTGAACAGCTACAGCCTTTCTAGATCTCAAATGAAGTAGTGCAAGTGTTGAGACAATTCTTACAATGATCTCCTTCTGGCTAGTATTTGAGTGCTTTCTGTTGCTCCAGATGACTTCTAGAAAGGCAGCAACAGTTGAAAAAGGCCTGGAAAGTCCATTTTTTGATTCTAAAATTTTTCATGTCCTTCCCAGAGAAACCCCACAGATAGAATAGCAAAATTGTTTAGCGTTTAAAGCTCTCACTAATGGTATGCAACTTGTGGTGCTGGTCACCTCGACCCTCGTTAGAATTTATTGGGGTGTACCGAAAGTATTAGTTCATTTCATAAGTTCTTAAGGTTTTATTCTCGTTCTCTTTTCTTTTAGGAGCAATCCGTTAATTTGTGCCAAGATGCGTATATCACTGAGAATAGCTGAGAATGCTTTAAAAAAATTGCTAGTTACTGTCATGAAAAACTGCTGCTGCTAATTTTTTTGATTCCTCAGCTTACAAAGAAGGTTTTCTCAAAGGGCACAAAGATGCGCTTTCGCTCATACGCATATTCTTTGCAATACGATAAAGTATAACTCTTCTACAAAAACGTTTAGTAGATAAGAGAAGCAATTATGGAATCAGCATTCTATTAGGTTGTCCCAAAAGTAAACTTCTTTTCCAAATAATTCAAGTTGTTTTTGTTTTACCAGTGAAATTGGGGTATCATTCGATAGAGCAGATCAAGCTCTACAAAATGTCTATCAAGGATCGGCCCAAGTCGCATTCCATGGAAAGTTTGAAGCCAAAATCGGAAAAAATTTGGTTACCTGAAAATTGAATTTCTGCGATAAAGAATCCTACGGACCTCCAACTTGGTCATTATACAGTAGGCACATAGTAGTACTCAAATATGCCTTTAACGAATTTTTTTCAAGCATAGAAAGCGAGAAACAAAAATTGTCCAAAAACGGCAAACTTCGCCCCAGCCCCTCCCACATATGTCATTGTATACTACAAGCCTTACTAAGTATAATCGTAAAACCTTACCCCTCTATGTGCTCTTATATTCGAGAAATAGTTTACATATAAAAAAACCGAAAAAGTGGCATTTTGGCATTTTCGGACCATGTTTTTTTCTCAATTTTCCCGAGCCTCGGAAAAAATCCGCCAAATACATTTTTGGATACTACTATGTGTCTTCTATATAAAGACCAAGTTGGAAGTCCACAGGAATTCACTGGAAGGAGATCTGATTTTTAGGGTAGCTGAAAAATCTTGATTTTTGGCCTCAAATTTTACCTATATTACGACTTGGGTGGATCTTTGGTGGCCTTTTTGTAGAGCTTGCTTCGCTCTATCGAATGGTACTCTTCAAGTCTGTTAGGAGAACAAGAACAGCTCAATTTATTTGAAAATGGAGTTTACTTTTGGGGGTACAGCCTGTTGGAAAAGGCTACTTCGATCTCTGTCATTCCCTTCACAACTATCAATTCAAGCGCACGATGTAATCAAGTCGTTGCAGAGCTTTTGTCCTCACAAGGGAAGGATGCTTGGTCATCGCGGCCATTCATAATGATTTGTATATCAAAAACTAGCTGGCTTACCCGGCTCCGCCGTATCCGGACCAAACTTGGCACACATACACTTCGGGCCCCGGTGGGTGTCACAGTCCACTTTTCGTTATCGATCGATGTCGATTTTACCGATTTTTATCGATTTTTTGCAGAGTTCACCTACAGGGCTAGGAGTTGGCACAGGGGGGAAGTGAGCATGGGGATTCCGAATACAATATTAGTTTTCAGAATTATCGATTACTTTTATTGATTTTATCGATTTTTTGTAAATTTTGACATGCGAGGCTGGGATTTTGCACAGGGGGTAATCGAGCATGCTGATTACGAACACAATATTAGTTTTCAGGATCGTCCATTACTTTTATCGATTTTTCAAAAAGTTTGAGCTAGGGGCTGGGAATTGGCACAGGGGGGTAATCGAGCATGCCGATTACCCCCCTGTGCCAACTCCCAGGACCGTAGCTCAAATTTTGCAAAAAATCGATAAAATCGACATCGATCGATAACGAAAAGTGGACTATGACACCCGCCGGGGCCCGAAGTGTATGTGTGCCAAGTTTGGTCCGGATCGGTTCAGAAATGGAATTTTCTATTCGGAACATACGTACAGACATACAGACAGACATACATACAGACAAACAGACATTCAACTTTATATATAAGATGCGCCTTCTGATGCTGGTTCGAATACTGTCTTCTATATCTGCAAAACCATAATCTGGATGGAGTTGTGATTATTTTTCCATGAATATACTGCGTTACTGCGGAGGGTCAAAACCATCAGTAAAAAATTTCTTTCCTTTTCAAATGCTGGATATGATTTAGATAGGTATAATACATCAGTATTCCTTTTGAGATTCTCTTCAATAGCTTCAAACGGTAACCTAGATCAAATTTGGTGATTTTAATACACAAAAGTACGCAAATTTTCTACGAAAAAAGCTCATAACTTCTTTCAGAAGATCGTTTCGCAGATATCGAGCACAGATTTGGAATCAGCGTTTCGAGCTGCATCTTACAGTATACATCGCATTCCAGATGGCCACGATAACCGAGTATCCTTTTCTCGTCAGTTGCTGAGGTGGGAGAGGGCAGATATCTGGCAGGAGTATCAGAGTAGGTTTTGTTACCGTCATTTTCTGCTTTTTTCACACCACTTTACCATAACATGCCAGTTTGATAATCACTGCATCGGAGAGGGACGACCATATCCATATTTTCGAGAGCTTATTTTGATCATTGGACTGATAATCACCCAACGTTACAACTCAGAGTTTCCCTTCCATTTATGTCTACTGCGAATCTTTGTAAGGTGGATGCCCAAAACTGTTAGGTAACTTCGTCTCCATCCTGGCTTATCTGTAAATATGCTTCTAGACAAGACAGCCAGTAAGAACGTAGTGATTCCAAGAGAAAAGACTACAGCAATATTGTAAGAATTTCGATGTCGAACTCACTTCAGCAATTCAAATGCAGTTTCAGAAATAGTTTCCACACGTCTGAACATCCATCTGGGAAATATTCTGGCAGTAAGGCTATCCTGCAAATTTTTACAATTCACTGATTATGTTTATAGATGACGCAGCAAGATCAGGAGGAAATCCAAGACGATAATAGGGCACCGTTACAAAAACTTCGGGAATTTGGCTGCTGCTCGAATGGAAGCAAAATCTGCCAGGTCTCATAGATTTCCACGTTCTTTGCGATCTTTTTTGGATAGAACTACCTGAGATTGCTAATTGTTAGGTGGGGAATTTAGCTACCGTTGTTTTCATTCTAACTGTCGCTTTGTGTAATTGCACCGCTAGGGTAGAGCAGGCCGCGGTGGTGGTCAGAGCCCAGCACGAGGTGGCATCTTAGAAATTCAGAAACGAAGTCTATCTTGACGTTGCAAAAACTTACGAGGTACCTTTTGTAGTGTTTGTACGCGCTCTCCTAATATGCAAAGGAAAAAAAGTGGATTGAAGTAAAGAAAAGATAAGAATAAATCAAAGATGAAAGCGTGCCAAAAAAGGCTGCTTTCACATCAAGAGTCATAACAAAGCATAAGGGACCAAAGTTGGGTTAAGGTGAATACTTATAGGTAGAGCTTGATCTAAAAAAATAGATTTATTCTTAAAAAAATTTGGAAATTTATGTGAAGAGGAAGATTTGTAAAGATCTATGAATTTGTATAGTCCTGGGCAACCTCAGGGTGCTCCATAGTTGCGCGGAAGCAACCTAAAATTGAAAACACTTACAATTTCTCTCGTTTACACAACTTTTTTCACAAATCCTCGTGCTTTTCTTTTGATCATCGCCGCGGATATAGAGGGTGTCCCAAAAAACTGTGCCTACTGTTTGATTGTTAATAAATCTCTTGCAATGAACTGTTTCGAGAATAGGTACCATTTACCATTTTGTAGAGCGAGGTTAAACTTAGCTTTGCATTATGGAGCGAATCAGCCGCTATTCATTATTGTAGGGTTACGGTAAGAACTTCCAGCACATGGAACCAATGTGAAATATATCACCTAACAATTTTTTTTTTCAAGAAATCTTAAAAAGATCGTGTACTAGGGTTTTCGCGCATGCTGGTTCCACCTAACAACTTTTTACGAGTGTTTTCAGCTTTTTTGACAGTATGATCACATTTTTGACAAATGCTAGAAATTGAGTTATTACGATTTACTGGGGATAACTTTGGAAAGAAGCATCACAGTAAAATGGGAATTTCAAATTCGAAGTCATCTTGACCATCATTAAAATTGAAAAATTAAGCGATTTGCACGTAGAACTCAATAGATCCTCCAGATGTACTAGCCTTGCTGAACGTGAAAAATGCACGCGACATACTTTTTACGGCTACGATTGTGCTCAGTCTACAGTTCAGGGTAGTGAAAAAAGACAAACCAAATTGGGAAGACGCAAGCTTAAAGAAGTTCCAAGAAGTAAGTCAAACCTTTGTACGTATTATTTGCCTTTGCGAGCAAATGTGAGCAGATAGTTTCCGTTGTGATAGCATTTTGATATGGTGCGCCTTCAAAAAATACGTACAAAGGTTTGACTTACTTCTTGGAACTTCCAAGAAGTAAGTCAAACCTTTGTACGTATTTTTTGAAGGCGCACCATATCAAAATGTCACAACAGAAACTATCTGCTCACATTTGCTCGCAAAGGTATCAGCGACAGACCAGACCTCAAGCGCAGTGGCAACAGGTTTATTTATTTATCTATTTATTTAGAAATGAATTCATGGTAAACCTTCAGAAGAAAAAAAGCAAATTTGAATAATCACAATACCAGCCAGTCTCAATTACAGGGATACTGTGATATGAGAAAAGAAAAACAAACCAAAACGCTCCAAATTAACTGTAACACATGAATGCTTTTGCTTAGAGAGAAACTGAATATAAGAAAAAAAAGTTCATGCTTGGAAATCTTGCTTTCTTCGTAATGTATAACGATCCCTTTCTTGGGTGCCAGCGAGCCTGCAGGCGGAAGCTAGCTGATTCAAGCCCAATAAAATCCATGTGTCAATAGAAAGCAAGATACTAAGTTGGGGCGCTAAGTGAAAATATCCTAATGATTCGTGAGCGCAAAGTCTGTTCTAAGCATGTGATTTGGGTGCTATCACTTGTAAATTTGGTTTCGGAGAGGTAATGGTACGAGGGATACGGTCCCTTTTCCCAGCCACAAAAGAGAAGCTGGTTAAAACCATCAACGAGCTCTAAACAATAGTTAGTAATAATTAAATAAAAATGTAGACAGCGGTCAATCTCAATCGATCTTGCTAATTATCCAAAGCAGCAGAAACATGGCCTTTGATAATGGACGGATTGATAACGTGGTTTCAAATATAGTGTGGACCCCGGCCAGGTTCCCATAGGCACTTCCGCGGCGCGCACGCAGCGCGCGCCCTTCTTAATGCTTCTCGCCTCATTCATGAGCGGTAGAGCATATTTATGCTCACAAAGGTGAAAAATGTTAAGCGGAAACCTCTAGGTTCACTTCGAAAGAGACATATGCAAGAATGAAACGCAGGCAACCTCCATGAGTACTTCAAACTCAATCGATGGATACATATTCCGAACTTGCATTGATGAATAGGTTGTAATAGGTGTACGTAGAGAAATTAAAGAATAACAGCGTTCTTAAAACATTCCCCTTCGTAGACGTAGAGACTAGAGTGTTTAAAAATTTCAAAAAAAGTAGACATTTCAGTAAACAAGTGCCAATTGGCTTCTCGAAAGGCTCAATCTTGACTTGAGGCACTGTCTACATCTTACACATCAAACCGAAAGGGACTCTTATTTTATACAAGAAACTTTTGAAGGAATGGTATCTCAATATCCAATCAAATCTCAATTTTTCAGAGAAAAAAAGGGAAAACACAAGAATACTACACAAGACTGAAGCTCTTAGAACTACTAGAGCACGTGAAATCTCGTCACCGGTCATCGCGAATTGTTTATACCTGAAATAGAGAGAATATAGTATACCAAAAACAAATATCAAAAGCTAGGACAGGAGACGCACTGAAGGCGTACGTTGCTGGTGCGTCGCGCAGGTACCTATGGGAAGCTGGCCGGGGTCCACACTATAGCTGGATGGTATAGGCGTTTCCCATGCGTATAGCGGGGGGGGGGGGGCGCTCGTTACGTGCGGGCTGCCAAATGGAAAACGTCGCAACGCGGCGTTACAGTAACCGCGCGGGGGAAGCAGCAGTGTAGAAAACTTGTCAGATTTATATCACTAGATTACCAATGCTTTTTCTATATTGTTAGTGTTTTACCTCCTTCAATTTGTGTCTTTTTTGTCCTTTAACAGTTCATTTTACAACTTTTGTGGCAGAACTTCAAATAATTAAGTAAAACTAATATCATAACTTATAATAACGGGCTAAGGGTGTTTAAGTTTTTTTGTGTGTGTGTGCGTGTGTCTGTCTGTCCGTTACGAAATTCGTAGAGCGTGTTCCAGCCAACGTCCTAAGCCCAGATTTTGCATAGCGCACGCTACCTGCATGAAAGCCCACCATGCAAAAGCATGAGGGGATCCGTTGAGTGGATCCCTCAGAAATTGCGCGCCAAACGGATCCACCTGGCTTCTTTCAAGCAAAATTAGGTCCGTATCACCACTTTTTGCAAAGTCGTGAATGTGTTTGACAAGCTAATGTGCAAGCCCTTGACGTTAACCCAAAAAAATTGAACTAAAGTTGATTAGTTTATGAAAATGGCGCCGAAAAGAATAAGTTGCATAAATGTCCAAATTGCCAAGATTTTACCTGATCGTTTGAGAAGATTTTTGTACAGGGATGTAGTCCACGGTGACTATTGTCGTTATGGCGACTATCAGGCCATAAAAAGTCCAAAAACCAATTCAAATACGCATTAATTCTCCTCGGAAAAGTTTCATCCACGCGAAAATACCGATCTCACACAAAAAAGCTCTAGGAATGAGTAGTTGTTTACAAATCATTCGTGATAGCCTGCATGGTTCGGTGAGTTTCACACTGTCATTATTATGCGGGAGTGAGTTAGGCATATAGAAAGTAGGGCCAGTGCGAGCCTCTGCGAAGCAGAGGTGACGCACTGGTATAAGAATAGTCTGTGAACCTCAACAAAGGATGAGAAACTGAAAAAATATGTGCTGCGGATCATGCTGGCTGAATTCTCCGAGTGCGGTCACTGGCAGCCTGTCGCGCGCGACGTTTTCCAATTAGCAGCCCGCACGTAACGATACGCCCCCGTATAGCGGGCTTGGTGGTGCAGACATTTGAACACGTTGAAAATCTTGCTGAACCTTCTAAAGCATTAGATTTTGTATTCTCTAGCTGCCAAAAACTGCACGCGCATACGTTGACAAACGTCGGCAAAGCTCCGCCCGCTATACTGTGGGGAAAGGACGATACATTTGTATAGAATAAATCTGAAAATCACAGATATCAAGAAGTTGCAGCACATTTATATATTGTAGTCTTTTTCGAAAAATTTTGGATTTTTTTTTCGCTCGAAATAATGTGATCTCGAAGTGCAGAAAACCATCTGGATGTTTGACAGATGAATGAATTGAGCGTCATGAAAACTAGTCTTCTCCCTAATTTACGATAATGCAAGCCAGACCTACTTGATCGTTTGCTGTAGGATCTAAAGATCCAATATTTGCTGGCTGTGAGTCTGGTTTCTAAGCGCAATATCCGAAAAGAAAGAGTAAAATTATTGATGATGCGTCTGTACTTTAGACTCTGAAGGTTAAGCTTATTAAGACGAGATCGATAAGAAGGTAGTTCATATGGATATTCTGAATTGGGAAGACATCTATAGAAAAGTAACCTCGTAAACCTTTTTTGCATTTTTTCAATTCTATTGATGTTTCGCTTAAAAACGGACTCCAAGCAGGTGAGACATATTCGAGATGCGGTAATACGTAACTTTCATACAATCTCAAGAAACCTCAGGATCTTGGCTACGAATGTTTCTATTTTTACTAAATATAAGGGAGTTGTCAATCATAACCACAAGGTGCGATGGTTAATCTTATCGAAAGCTTTTGAAAGATCGAAGTAAATGAATGTCCGCAAAAGCTCCGCCCAACGTACGCCGGGGAGACGACGATATCAACTGATGTACCGTTGTTAAGGGCGGTAAGCCAGTAAAAAACAGAATCAGATAGCAATGTGGTTGTGGAACAACCTTGAAGAAACCCATGTTGTTCAAGAGGGATGACATGTTTTTCCAATAATCAAGTGAATAGTTTCTTGCAAATTATCTTTTCGGGAACCTTCCCGACAGAAGGCATGCTGCTAATAGGACGATAGTTGGATATGATGTTCCCGAGATCTTTTTTGGGGGTGGCTGTCACTAATGATTCTTTCCAGATTCTAGGCACATTGCCAGTAGAGAGAGAGAAACATTAAAAATGTATGCAAAAGGAAAGCCAAGATTTAGCACATCTCTTGAGAATGATGTGCTAAGACTAATTTCTTACATTTCTTTCCAAGGTCCCGAAATCTTTTGTCTGTCTTGGATTCCTTTGCCTTAAATGTGCCCGCTCCGGAGCTGGCCTCAGAGATCGTTTTTTGGGTATGGGTATTGCTGAATACGTGTGGTGTAAGCCTTTGACCCCTCACATCTCATTGTCAGATAAATGTGGCTATTCAATTTGCACTCAGCACATCTAAGAAGCGACAAAAATTAGATTGATAATTTGCTGAACCACTGCCTTCGAGCCTTGTTTGGAAAACTTGGTGTAAGCGTAGTATACTTCAGACAGAGATAGTATCTTGAGGAAGTCCTCATAATGAAGTGCAAATGATGCCGCTTTCTTTGTCAGCTCATTTATTTTGAGGTGTTTAGGAGTAGCATTTAAACGAATGCTGTGTCGCACAGCTGCTAAATCTCATATTTTTTCTTCTGATCGTTTTTCCTTCAAGAATTTGCAGATAGGACGCTTCTACGTAAGTGTTTTTGAGTTCTTCCGAAGCACTCTATGAAAAACGTTAGGTCTCAACTGTTAATGTTTCGGTAGACACTAGAGTAAACATTATCTACATCAGTCGCTCCAGTGCGGGTATATATTATAACATTGGCACCATGAAAGGACCGAACCGGCAAGAATTGTTGATGAATATTTTGTTGTGTGCGCTGCTAACAATCAATACTTTTTAGGTACACGTCTTCTATCATGATTCCATTTGATTTTATCAACGGCATCTATGCAGACGGCCACGATCTTTATATTCGAGTGACTATCTTACCTTGACAATCTACAGCAGCAAAAGCGATAAGTTTTAGTTAAACTCGACCGCAATATACGATTTTTGCCTATGTGATGGTGAACTTGTGTATACTGACGTCACACAAGGAGAGCGAGCTAATTCCCTTCTGCACCATCTTGTTCTCAAGTGAGTACAATATAAAACACTAATTTCTTCTTGACAAGCAGGCGTGCTTTTGATATTCATCTTACTTCCACTTTAAACGATCAGCATGGAAGCAGCTCGAAGTATTGCAATTCAACGATAAGCGCAGGAACGCTTACTTGATCAACACAAAATCACTTGTCCTCACTAGCATGTCCTAATCAGGTCGAAATCCACTTCTAATCTTTTCATAAACTTGTGCATTCTTTGCAACTATGGGCGTGGGCCTATCCAAAGAAGATTTGAGCTCCCATCTTTAAATGTGAGTGGTCAAACTTTTTCTGCGCTGTACAGAAGTTGAGAAGCCTCTGTCGAACGAGGCTCATATTCTAGCACAGATGACTGAGGCTTGCGTGCTACTTATATGTTCTGCAACGACTAAACAGAGCTCGATATTAGAGGCCTAAAGTTTATAACTAGCGTTATCGCGCTTCTATTAGGTTGGTCCCAAAGTTCTGTCGCATGATTTTTAGAAAATCGTACCTTCCTTCGATAGTCTTGCATAAAAAAATAACTTTAGAAAGGGTAGCTCATGCACTTTCTAATGACATCTTATCAGCCCTCTTCTATGTTTTGGTCGCAGAGATAAAAATTGGGAAAGCAAATAACTTATGGTTCGGAATTTTAAATCGAGCCCGTTGAAAATGCCAAAGCTGTGCAAGAAGATTCACAACAGCTATTGCCATAGGTTTTCTGACCTCCTCTTTCCATGTGAAAAATTTGTGCTGATCTAGCTGTTCTTTGAAAAGTTATGATTTTTAAAAAATAACGCCAAAAGATCAATTTTCTTAAGAAACCGATTTTTTGGCATTTTTTCTCGAAAATCAGAATTTTTCAAAAAGCAGATCGATCAGCGCGAATTCCACTCAGCTAGAAAGAGGGGGTCAAAAGCATAGGATACTAGCTGTTCTGGATTTTATGGCTCAGTTTTGGAATTTTTAATGGGCTTGCCTCAAAATTCCGAAATTGGAGTCAGGGCTCGGCATAGGTGACTTACGGGGCAAGCTGGAAATCGTTTTGGAATAAAAAGCAAGGGGGATCGTTTAAGTGGAACAGCCCCTCCCATACACACAGTCGCCTTCTGCCTTTATGTCACCTATCTTCTATAGAAGACGCAAATTGTCATTTCTGCCTTATCAATCTGCAAAAACCAAAAATTTTCTGTTTCAACATGTTCGCCTTTTGAGCGCGCGAATTCAGACCTGCCCTGAAATAAACAAATGTTTGCAGCAAAGAGGAAATGAAATGACACCAAAATTGGTGTGTAGATGGGTAACAGGGAGTTAGGACTATGTGCGAAAAATCATGAAAAAATTATGTTAAAGGCGAGACTTTTCTCGGAGTTAGGTGGCTTTCCAGCCACTTAGACCAGCCACCTGAGGTGGCTGTAAAAAAGTCATATATTTTCCATCCTTCACATAATTTTCTTACATGTTTGACATAGCTTTGTTCTACATCGAAATCCCCACAATTGAGTTTTTGAATCTCCCTAAACCCCCTTTTCCTCGCCTAGTTACAGCCCTTCAAATATTTTGTATGACGGCGACAAGTCTGCTCCAAGCGGCAAGGGTGCGCGCCGGACACAACATGCCGTCATTTCAGAGAAAACGAACATCTTTGTTTTTTCTTCGTCTGTTCGAAGTTGCTTTTGTATTTTGTTCCATTACTTTTCGTTATTCGTTTTAATCCTTTCACGATCGTGTCATAGGTGATGCCGTATTTTTTGCCGAAGTCTACAGGGACTTTTTGAAATTGAAAAAGCCACCTCATGCCGAGCCCTGATTGGAGTGCTTTTTTTTCAATTTTACCTCTGCATTCAGAGCTCAGCAGATAGCAGCCAAGACACCACTAGAAAAAGCATGATTTGGCTTTTTTCGAATAGAATTTTAGTCATGCAAAACCATCGCGAGAAGAAGTAGTTACGACTTTTTGGAAATGATGCGACAGAACTTTCGGACCAACCTGATATATACAGGGTGTCCCAAACAAATGTGCACACTGTTTGATCGTTGATAGTTTCCTTGCTTTAATGTCTTTCGCCGACCTTTAGGTACCATTCTTTAGAGCAAGGTCCAACTTAATTACTTTCGTTCGATTTACAGTATGAAGCGAATCACCGACCGCTCTTCTTACTGTGGGATTAGTAAGTACTCAGCATATGGAAATTGTAAAATATGTCATCTGACAAGATGTCTTCAAAAATCTGAAGAATCGTGTGCTAAGGTTTTCGCGCAATCTGATTCCGCTACACTACTTTTTAGAAGTGTTTTCAGCTTTTGGCGGCGTAATCATTTCTGACAAATATTGGAAGTTCAGTCATTATCTAAGATAACTTAGGACCGAAGCATCCAGATAAAGTGGAAGTTTCATATACGAAATCAGCGACTTCCATTACCATAGTATAAGAGTTTTTAACTTGTTTGGTTTTGTTCCGAGTCAGAATATGGCTTCCAACGACCTGATGACGTTGAGTGAATCCGACCGCTCACATCTAAGAGCTTGTAACGATACCGGATTGTGAAGAATGAGTGTCACAAATATCCAGAGTGAAGCAATGCGAGGCTGGCGCTATAGAATCTTTGCGCGGCGGCCGCTATTTGCGTAATCACAGCTTCTTCCAGGCAGAGAAAGTGGGAGAAAGTTTTGCCGTATGCTCAATGTGTTGAACCAAGCCACCCAGTATGGTTATTGAATACTGCCATGCGAAGCAACCACTCAATTTTCCCATATTTGAAACACTCTTGAACTTTGAAATTAGGAAAGTCGAAGTACGGCTACACTTGTCCGCGATTGCGTAATGCGTGACCTTTCCGAATCATCGCAAAGTCGGTGGCTTTCTTTCTCATTCCGTTATTTTTTAGTCATGAATTGGTTGGAACCATATTCCAGTTTTGCTTCGGTTCGAAGAGATAAAAATATGTTGGCTGTTATCATTTTGTTAAGATCTTTTCTTGAGAGTTCGCGGCGGAAATTACGCTTGTGCGCAGAAACCTCTTGGCCAGGAGCATGCTATCTGCAGCAGCAGTACAACGTTTTGTTTGCACATACTTCAGTAAAATTGTGTTGAGGGCACGAGCCGAAGAATTTTGCGCTCAACTTCTCAAAGTAAATGTCAGATATTTCTCCAAACTCATACAGACATTTCCAGAATTTTCAAAGGTGATAGTAGGCAGATTTGCACCTAACATGCTACACGACAATAATTATCATAAATATTAGGACCTTGCGGGAGCCACAAGCTCTCAAAGCCTACATCGTCATGCGAAGGCAATAGTATATGAGAACTCACGCCATGTACCCACTCGGATAACACAAAAACCTTTTCAATTCTGCCGCAAAAAATATCCAAACACCCATTGCACTACTATAACACTGAAGGAAGAAGCAATTACCCGGTTACAACCACGGAAGGCATCTATACTCCCATCGGGTTATTCTTTACCGCAAATTCCTGATGTAAGCACGATTGCGGAGAATCCAGTACCAAAGTTTACAACTTATTTTCCTAATGGGACCAGACAAGATTTTCCAAGCGTTTCCTATGATTTCGAGACTGCAGGTAGTCTAAAAAAAGACTAATATTTGCTCTCAACCATTTTTTTTCAGAGCAGTCACCGTCTTTCTTTGCGTTGAAAGATTTACGCAAGCTTCTTCCCAGAGATGACGACTTTCGACTTCAGCAATTCCCTCAAACAAAAGAAAACCATCTGACAAGGGAAGGTGCGTAGTTATAGCCTGTGTACTGACAATGAGATTCTTCCCATGCATCGCCACGCAGCCCATTGCTAGTTTTGACGCGTTGGCGCGAGAGCCAAGAATCGGATACTACATATAAGCAAGACGCGCTAATGTGAAAGTCATACGAAGCGGTGATAATTACCTAAGTGGATTTGGAAAACGAACCACTTATCGGTGACTGCGTTACTCAGTTTTGGAATAGGCAATGACTACCACGAGACGGCTGCGTGTCTCAAACACTGTGGTTTGAGTGTTTTCAACTTGGTTCTGTTTTCCGCTACTAATGAGTTAAATAGCAATCAATACATTCAGCGTTGATCTACCTTTCGAGATATTGGGCCTAGATGACGAATAGTGATTATCAGCTATCAATATAACCCTCACAATGTCTAGAACGTTTCCCTTCAAACTCGCACACTGAAGATTACGAACATATTAGGTTGTCCCGAAATTTTTTCCGTTTTTTCATCGCTCACTAAATCTTACAGAACACCAATCCATGGACGTCCTAGGTGCCATTGATTCTGATTTTTATCTTCTTTCTTACAGATATATTTGCTCTCTGATCTACCCCATATTTGCAATTTATCGCCATGGCTTTTTGAGCAGCTCAGCAGTAACGCCAAATCTTTCCTGAATTTCAAAAAAGAGCGCTGGTAACTATTATGTAGAGAGAACCTTTGGCTATATTGTACCCAATTTAGATTACATAGGCCACGTTTACCAAGCCCGTTATAATTATCTATTCAATTGCAACCGCAGCTTTTTGATTATGTTTACCACGTAAAAGTACAGAAAATTCCAAAAGTCTGCTTTTTTCAAAGCAAAAATTGGTTATGTAGCATAAATGACGTTAAATAGGAATCTATCTCAATTCGCAGAAACTTCGAAAGCTTTCGTATATTTGCTGCCGTTGCGTGTTTCATGACTTGGCCAAAAATCGAGACCTCCGAAAAAATTTTTTTTTCAAAGTTGAAAACAGCAAACTAGGAGAATCTAAAAATATTACCTTTAGTCCGAGAATTGCTCTATTTAAACCATGCTTAAACTTCCCCGGAACTTCGTAATGAAATTTTTAACAATTAGGCTAACTTTGAGCAGATAAAATTGACAGGTGGAGAATTTTGGCAATTATCAAAAAAGCATGCGAGATTATGTCCGTGAATGTATTCATAAGAAAGGGGAGGAAAAGCTGCATCAAACGCATTTGAAACTCATTCAGGTCTTTATTGTGCTGATTTTAGAGTGGTTTGAAAATACGGACAAAACTTTTGGGACAACCTAATAGATATCAAACTCGAAAATGGCAAATACGTTGAACATTCTCAACATCTTCTTATCTCCCAAAGTCGGCAAACATCAATCTTAAAGGTTGCGTACGGAGAATTAGGCTTGCCCGATCATATACTCTGCTAATTATGGTGGACATTGTAGCTCGTGGTCAATGCAGTTTTCTTTTTCTGCTGTTACATTTTCCAACAGCAAGCAAATGTTTGTTGGAGTGCTGTCTTCTTACTTTTCATTATGATCAAATGCTAAACAATAAATGTAGAAGGTAGAACAGATTTTGCTGAACAGGGCTAAGCTCCTCTTAAGCATGTAATTAGACAAGATAATATCGGTATTTAATCAACTTCCAGGATGACCGTAGCACTTCTGTAAATTGAAATACGGTTCTTCTCAGTTCTCGACGTTTTCAAACTGTCTTCAACCTTTTTTTGGAAAGCTTGGGAAATAAAGGAAAGAGAATCAGCATAAGGAGGGAGGGGACGCTCACTAGGACGAGTCACGAAGTTTTTGAAAGTTACTTATATGAGTTACAAAAATGTGCAAGGAAATTGTTCATATTTGTAAGTAATTTGAGTAAATTTTAAAATTTTTCTGGGCGTGTTTTTGTCCCCCCCCCCCCCCTCCGAAGGGAACCTGGAAATCACTGCTATTGACGTTGGTAAAAAAATTGCTTTGAGAGAGGGAAGAAGCTGCATTAGCTACTCAAGGTTTAAAAGTTCCTCAAGAGAAGATGAATCGCGACCTGTCCTTCTTCAGAAAGCATGTGTTCTCTATCGTCTGCCTCCACAGCGAGATCTGATACACCATCGAAGCTTGATGGAATCTCACCTTATTCACAATCCGAATATCACTCCTGTCAGAATGTGATTAGCTTGAGCTTGCAAATACACCCAAAATTGAAAATATTGTAGGAACTTTTGTGTCCGCTCGGATACACGGAACACATCTGTGCACCACAAAGCACGTCTCCCTTTTCTTATGACGACACTACCATGGAATATTACCCTTTGCAAGATCTCTCACAAACGGCTTCAGATATGTCAACACTCGAAAATATTCCCATCTGAAAGAATTGATTGTACTGCAGTATTGGAGACAAATACAAAGTTTTGATCATTAGCACTAGTATCTAATTGCAATAAAGGTTACAATTTTCAGGAGAATGTAAACTATGTTTTTGATTTCTCATTTGAGGCTGCTGAACTTTTCTTACAATCACATTTTGGTGGAGTACAGAAGAAGAATGCTCCAAACCTTTTGTTAGGGCGCTTTGCTCTCGTATAGATTCTCTATAGTTTCCTCACTACAGTATGGTAGCTTCACATCATCATCATAAGAACAATGGCTCGGTAAGATAGGTTATTTTCGAACCTTGATGTGGTGGGTTGCTTAAGTCAAAGACAAAAAGTGCGTTTGGTCACACACCATGCTCCCTCGCTAAGAGAATGCTCATAAATCTGAGCCAGTTTTTTTTTGCGCTGGAACAAGTCCGTGATTTCTCTTCCACCGTTAGAGGCGGCATACATTACAATGTTATAACTATGGGGGTCCCATAATTGCTCTGCGTCTTCAGCCTTGGGGAAGCTGTTCCACTTGTCTAAATGCAAAACGAGAGACCTTTGAAATTGCTCGTTTTTGCCATTTTTAAGCTCTAAGGGGGAATCACGCCACGGATAACTTCTAGTAAGCGAGAATTTTCTTAGATTCGGATTTGTGCAGCCACTGACACTGATGTATGTTGGTTAGCATATGTGGCTGCGCTCGGTCATTGTAATCAGATCATTCTCATTTACGAACCAATTCTTGTTGTTATTAGAGGTGCGAAGTTAAATTCAGTAAAACCAACTGATAATCGACCCTCGTTGACATATTTGCAACTTTTTTGGTATTCTATCGCTGCCCTATGTATAATTTTTAAGCTTCTCACGACTGCGCAAAAAGTGCAGAACTTAATGATCTCTGTGGTTTCAATCGATGTTAATACTCGTTCATACTACCTGTAGTAATTCCATCTAAAGTCTTACAACTCAAAGAAACAAAGTAAAAAAGGCGTGTTCGTAACTGATCCGAACAGTCACCTGCCAAGAACGATGGTGCATTTCTGCTGCAGAAGCTGCGCGCACACTCGCCCCATGTATGCAATGGACATAATAAACACCTGCATATACTGTGTTAGATTGATGACGATCGTGTTTGGAGTATTAACAAATAAGAATGCACGAGTTGCTTAGTTGTATAAGGAACTAGCTGCGGTCCCCGGTCCCGCCCGGGCCGAGAGTCCAGAATGGCCCAGCATAGGGTGTGCTTCAAGATGTATACTTACCAGTCCTCCATTTCTTCAGTTCACATCTTCTGACTCTCCTGCTTCACCTTCTTGTCAGTTCCAGCGCTCGTGTAGTATCCGTGGTGAATAGTCTTCTTTCTTGACCGGCTCGCTTCATGACACCGCATGCTCCTCACCGCAAAATGTGAATGATCTCTACCACCCCTTACTACTTAAGTTGGAGAAATGAATGGTATAGCCTTCATTTTCCTAGATTTTAGTAAACAAAATCAATAAATCGATAGAAGGACTCAGCGAATTGTCGAAAAAGTAGCCTATCTGATGCGCCGTGTCTCATTTATAGGGAAACAAAATTCAGCCTCTTTGGTTCACATACAAAGGAGTCTATAAGCCACAAACATCCTAACAAACACGGTATAGTGTTTGAGTTATCTTATATATAAAGCTGAATGTCTGTTTGTATGTATGTATGTCTGTATGTATGTGTGTACGTATGTTCCGAATAGAAAATTCCATTTCTGAACCGATCCGGACCAAACTTGGCACACATACACTACGGGCCCCGGCGGGTGTCATAGGCTACTTTTCGTCATCGATCGATATCGATTTTATCGATTTTTATCGATTTTTTTGCTGAGTTCACCTACGGGGCTGGGAGTTGGCACAGGGGGGTAATCGAGCATGGGGATTCCGAATACAATATTGGTTTTCAGGATTATCGATTACTTTTATTGATTTTATCGATTTTTTTGCAAAGTTTGAGCTACGGGGCTGGGAGTTGGCACAGGGGGGTAATCGAGCATGGGGATTCCGAATACAATATTGGTTTTCAGGGTTATCGATTACTTTTATTGATTTTATCGATTTTTTGCAAAGTTTGAGCTAGGGGGCTGGGAGTTGGCACAGGGGGGTAATCGAGCATGCTGATCATCCCCAAGGGGGGTGATCAGCATGCTCGATTACACCCCTGTGCCAAATTCCAGCCCCCTAGCTCAAATTTTCAAAAAATCGATAAAATCGATAAAAGTAATGGACGATCTTGAAAACTAATATTGTATTCGTAATCTGCATGCTCGATTACCCCCTGTGCAAACTCCCAGCCCCGCAGGTCAAACTTTACAAAAAAAATCGATAAAATCGATAAAAGTAATGGACGATCCTGAAAACTAATATTGTGTTCGTAATCAGCATGCTCGATTACCCCCCTGTGCAAAATCCCAGCCTCGCATGTCAAAATTTACAAAAAATCGAGAAAATCAACAAAAGTAACCGATAATTCTGAAAACTAATATTGTATTCGAAATCCCCATGCTCACTTCCCCCCTGTGCCAACTCCTAGCCCTGTAGGTGAACTCTGCGAAAAAATCGATAAAAATCGGTAAAATCGACATCGATCGATAACGAAAAGTGGACTGTGACACCCGCCGGAGCCCGAAGTGTATGTGTGCCAAGTTTGGTCCGGATACGGCGGAGCCGGGTAAGCCAGCTAGTATATATATATATATATATATATATATATATATATATATATATACTAGCTGCGGTTCCCGGTCCCGCCCGGGCCGAGAGTCCAGAATGGCCCAGCATAGGGTGTGCTTCAAGATGTATACTTACCAGTCCTCCACTTTCTTCAGTTCATATCTTCTGTTCTCTCCTGCTTCACCTCCATGTCAGTTTTAGCGCTCGTGTAGTATCCGTGGTGAATAGTCTTCTTTCTTGTCCGCTTCATGACACCGCATGCTCCTCACCGCAAAATGTAAATGACCACCCCTTACTACTCACTTGGAAAAATGAATGGTATAGCCTTCATTTTTCTAGATTTTAGTACACAAAATCAATAAATCGATAGAAGGACCCAGCGAATTGTCGAAAAAAGTAGCCTATCTTTTGCGCCGTGGCTTGTTTTTAGGGAAACAAAATTCAGCCTCTTTGGTTCACATACAAAGGAGTCTATAAGCCACAAACATCCTAACAAACACGGTACAGTGTTTGAGTTATATATATATATATATATATATATATATATATATATATATATATATATATATATATATATATATATATATATATATATATATATATATATATATATATATATATATATATATATATATATATATATATATATATATATATATATATATATATATATATAGATGATCTTTGCGGTAACTGTGAGTATACCACTGTCTGCATGTAGTCGTCAAACCACCACGAAAGAAGTGCAGATAGCGCAGTGCCACTGAGCTGAGACGTGCGAGGTTCGGCTTCATGATGGAGAAACAAAAAATTTGCGAAGTAGTGGGACAACATATCGTCAAGTTTAGAATCTGATATATGTAGCATACTAAGCAGACTCTGGAAAGAATAGATTGTAAATTGTAAACTGTTGGATGTACTTCTAAAGTATTGAATGTTATAAAACAATCCTAATTCACATTGTGCAATATGCTCCAATGCTCTAGTAGCTACAAAACTGCCTTATTTCGTATGGTGAAAGGCAAACAATACGAAGTTAGTGTATGACAAAACAGCTTATAGGCACCGTCCACCCTAAGTTGAGGGTGTTGAGCTTTTGGCAGCATATACTCGGACAGTCGAAGAAATACCTCCGGCGGGCAAATGGCGCGAGTCTGCCACTTCGCGCTCCGGAGCCCTGCCATTTCACGCATTTTGCTGCTCCGGGGCTCTCCCAGAACTGGCGCACCTCCGGAGCAGAGATTTGCGCGTCCCGGAGAGGGGTCCCATTCGTTCACCGTGACGTCACGGTGACGTCACAAACAGGCGAATGGGACCCCTCTCCGGGACGCGCAAATCTCTGCTGCGGAGGTGCGCCAGTTTTGGGAGAGCCCCAGAGCAGCAAAATGCGTGATGGCAGGGGTCCGGAGTGATCCAGAGCGCGAAGTAACAGACTCGCGCCATTTGTCCGCCGGAGGTATCCCTTCGACTGTCTGAGTAATAGTAGGTCCTCCTATCAATGCAATGCCCAAGTCGCAGCGCAAAATGCCGCTTCGGAAGCGAGAAAATCGCTTCGGAATAGCGAAGATGCACGAGGACCCCCATCCATGCCCGCCCACTTGTGCGCGCCCGTCCAATCACCGTTCCGGAAAGCCGGCCTGTGGGTTCTCTATAATGGGGATTGTCGGGGTTTTCGCGCATTCTCGACTTCATATTCGGAATCAGAGGCATGAGAAGGCTTTGAAACGACAAAACCGTGGAAGTCGAAAATCTGGGTGGACGGTGCCTTTAAGGCAACGTCCAGGCAAATGTGGACGTGGGGATCTCACGTAGATAGTAATTTAGGGGCTTTAACACATTTACGACAATACGACCCACCGATAGGTCGTACGTGTACTGCCATTTCGGATATACGACGCACCTCTGGATTCATATCACTAATCACTGCAGATTTATAGGGCTTATCAAATTGAGTGTCGTTTGCACCAACATCTCCATCTTCGCGCGGGACTCTGCGTCTCTTCTGCGGGGCTGCTTTCTGAGCACTTTCCCAGGGCGAGCGTGGGAAAGGCGGAGCCTCAATCGATTGGAAGTGATTAGGGAGCATGTACCCAGAAGAGACGCAGAGTCCAGCGCGAAGATGGAGATGCTGGTGCGAACGACACTCAACTTGATAAGCCCTGTACGATGGAAGTACATGAGGTGTCCGCATATGTTTGGAGACATCTAGGGTAAGTTTAAATAGGAGACCATTTTTCGGACCATCAGCAGCCGAAAAAAAGACACGAGAAAGTTGATATCTACCAGGGTCGTATGTCCGAAACGGCAGAAATCGATAAAGCGGCCGTGTCGTGAATGTGTTAACTGAGCCACTGTCCACCCGGCAGCTCAGGTAGTCGTCTAAGGCCCCGGTCAGACTTCACGCGACTTAATCGTCGCGACCTAATCGCCAAGATTTCCATTCATTTTCATTTCACATTCAAAAATGTCGGGCTGGAAAAGTATCACAACCGATTGCAAGTTGATCGGCATGGAATGATGTTGTAACAGTTGTCTCGTCGCGACTGAGTCGCGACGATCAAATCGCGTGAAGTCTGCCCGGGGCCTAACGGCTGAGGCTGGGTTCATACTGATTCCCATGTTCCGCAACTGTTCCCGCACAGTTTCCGCACAGGTCTCGCACTGTGCTGCAACTGTTCCGGAACAGTGCTGCACGCGCTGCAGCCGCCCCGCACCGATTTGAACGATTTGACGGGTGCCGATTAAAAATTCTGCTGGTCAAAAATTTTGCTGATCAAAACGGAAGCGGAGCAGAGGAATAAGGCCAAAATGGGAGAAGTCTGGAAGAAAAATCGTTGAACACGGTCAAAATTCTCCAACTTCAGTCGTTCAAAACGGTGCAGGGCGGCTGCAGCGCATGCAGCACAGTTCCGGAACACTTCCAGCACAGTGCGAGAACTGTGCGGGAACAGTTCCGGAACATGGGAATCAGTATGAACCCAGCCTGATTAGTCCACTCGAAACTGGACCCCAGGATCGTTTTGTATGGATTTATGGCGCAACCCATCAGTTTCACGCGAGGGCCCACGGGTGCCATAAATTCATGCGAATTACAGTCCTGGGTCCAGTTTCAAGGGTACTTATATCAGCCGTTAGAGGACTACCTAAGCGCGCTTTGCTTTGTCGGCAACTTACAGGAGCTAAGCGCTCATCTGAGACAAGCGCCTGGACAGTTTGTAGACATCTATTTCCCAACTCAAAGGACTCAAAAAATAGTGGAGCTTTTTGGAAGATTGAGCAGGTATAAAATGCATTTTGACAACGATATCACGTCACGTTCCATTGGGTCGGTGCAACTGAAAAAAACAGATTTTATGTGCAATACGTATGAAAAGAATGCTACAGCTTTCGCAGATTGCTCAAAAGTGCTGAAAAGGCTTAATTTGTATACTTGAAGACGTGCTTCGTTTCTGCGCTTATCCGACGTGACGCTAGGCAATAAAGCACTTTAAAGAAAACGAAGAAAAGAATTGGCAGGAGGAATGTTTCAAGGCTATGATCGAATTTATGGGTTACTTTCCGAGAGCACACAGAAGCACGCGAGACAAATAAGTTGTTGAAAATGGATGTTTTTCCTTTTCAGAATTCTTGCTCCAAAAAACAAACTTCCTTGATTTTCTTGAAGTTTAGGGAATGATGTGTGTTGGTAAACTTGAGCGTTCAGAGCTAAATATAAGTTTCATCAAATTTCGTTTAGAGTTCGAGAACAAGCTGAACCAAAACATGTAGATGACTATTCGCAACCTAATATGAACTCGCTCTTTTCAATCACTACTGCATTCTCTGACTGCCAAATTTTGGTACTTCTCCGTTACGAACCATGTTTTTCAAAAAAAAAAAATCCTTTTTCCTTGTGCCAAGTCCGGTCCTAACTTCACAAAAAGATGTGTCAACCTCTTGCTACATGTCAAGGAGAATTGCGTTTCTTCTAGGTATATGACAAGCCTTCTCGAGAGTCTTACAGCCTATTCACCATGTAAGTTCAAAATAGTAGACCTTTTTTCGTATCAAACAGTTTCTGTAAATCAACAATCTCGAGTTCAATGAGCACAATAGATTTGAAACAGAGAAGTGGGCTATTGCCTATCATCTAAGCGACGAGACATGCCGCAAGAGGCACTTTCAGCTACCATTCACATTCTTTCCTTTCAAAATTCGTAAGGCGGAATTCAAAAAGGAAGATATTTTGAAATATTGCTTTGGAGTCAATATTATTTAATAAGCGTTTTGAATTGTTTTGCTTTTACAAAACTGCTGAAAAGCTTTTGAGTCATTTATATGCTCTGTATCTCACCTGGAATGATTTAGATTAAAAAACATACTGAGTGAGTATAAATTGTCAATTCTAATAGTGTGGCAGGGGAACACTCCTCATACAGAAAATGATGAACTCGTATTTTTTGAGAGCACACTGAAAAAATGGGTTAACGGAAACGTACACAAATTTTTTGTAACGTCAAAACTTACGGTAGAAACGCCTAAGACTCGTGATCTGCTTGCGAAGCAAGCTCTCTTCAACAAATAAATGTGTAAGCAGAGAGGAGGTGATGTCATAGTTTGTTCTTTTCGGAGTATTTCCAAAAAGTAGATTTTGCGAATTGTTCCAAAAGCTATCGCATTTCAAGTGCATTTGTCATCACAAAATCAAATCATACTTTCACCAACTTATCACTATTTTCATATCGTGGTCATAAACGAGCCTCCTTCTGCATATGAAAGTGAGCCTTCAACCCCAACTTTCTCTCAGTATCTCCAACGAAACCAAATTTTGATACAACTATTTTCTAAGCAATGTCGGGGCCCTTTAGCAATCGTCTAGTTGACGACAAGTGTATATGATAGTCGTGTTCAGCATGTGGTTACCCTACAACGCAAAGTCTCTGCAAAACCTGAGATTTTGCTCACTAGTTATTGACCGATGTTAACCTCAATTTTGCGTCCAGCTGTGTTATTCAATTTCCCGGGGGCGGCAGATCTCGAGCACTCTCCAACTACTATTACTTTCCTACAGGGTTTAATGAGAGAGTCTCTGACAATATTCTTACAATAATTTGATGTAGTAGATGTTTTCGCCAAGCCCAGATAGTACGGTGAATCTTTATTTGACCTAACGTTTCGACAAGGTCGTCTTCTTCGGAGGTCTGAAAGATGATTGCAGTCTTGACCTATGAAACTACGCCGCCAAACGCCATCTCCGTGGCGTTTCTATTCGGAACATACGTACATACAGACAGACAAACAGACAGACAGACATACAGACAAACAGACATTCAGCTTTATATATAAGATTTTTAGAGGCGTAACATCAGCCACGCCTCCTTTTTCTGAAATTTCGGGATTCTGAACCTGCGAAAATTTTAAGGAAAATAACAAAAAATTTTCCGGAGTGCGTGGCCGAACTACGCACCTTCATCGGGAGAAATTTTTGTGCCTCTCCCCTCCCCTCCAAAGCCGAGATCCTGGGTACGCCACTGTTCCTCGATATGTTTTATTTAGACTACGAACGATCTCATTCTTGCTTGTAATCCTGTGAAATTCAAAATTTCATTAGCTTGGAAAAAACGCTTGTATTTTTTCTATTTGGTTATTAGAATTCAAACTATTTGTGTGACTTGTAGCTTACATCGCAGCTGCCTAATGCGAAAGTTTGAGCAAGGCAAATTCAAAGAGAGAAAAATTTTGGAGGCAATTGCAAGACTTAGTTAACATCCTGATGAAGGGCCTATTTGATAATTTTTAGAGTCTATGCAATAACTGATACAAATTAGTTTTATCGTAACACTTTGAAGTGTATCAAAGTGAAATTTAAAGGCAACATGGTGCGCTCCTGAATGGAGAGATCATCGAGCGGAACTATATAGTACTCAAACAGTCACTGTTGCGGCTCGGTGTGCTCAGCACTTCGCCCAGTGCTCGTCCGCCTGACAACACAACTCCTAACTCCAGGAAATACCGCCTCGGCGCTAGTGTGCGCACTACCTAGCGCGTCTGCTCGACGCCTACACCCCTCTAACCCGTACGACACGAACATCACACGCACGACTAGATTACATCACATTTATCTAAAACTACACAAAATAACAACAACTAATAGAACAACAAAAATACTAAAACTACTAAAAAATCACTAAACACTACTCAGACTACTACTACTACTCCAGGACAAGAAGAATACGCACGGGACGAGCCGCCTCGTCCCGTGCTGCCGATGCCTGATGAAGATCAACTCCAACACGAGTAGTTCCGGGTTCTCCGAAGGGTCAGCCGCAAGACCCTAGCCCTTACGGGACAGTGAGTCCCCTCTCCACTCCCGCAATCCTTTCCGCTGCTTGTTAGACTACAATACTAGCTGCGCGTCTCCATGCACAAGAAGAATATCAAAGGCTCAACCGCTCGAAACCGTTGATCATCTGCGGGAGCTACTGGAGGCGCTGCCAGCGGGTTGATATCATCAAAAAAATCGATAACGAACGAAGCTCAAGGAGGCGCAGACCGCAGCCCACGCGCCCTTATATACCCTGAGACTTGGCAACGCGCCCAGCAGGAGAGGTCTTGGCGCGATCTTGATAACGCGCCAAGTAACGCGACAGCCAGCGCTCCCGGTCTCCTGTTTCGAGGAGTGGCTTGCATCGCGCGAGCCGCGACACTCCCCCCCGAAACAGTGGACTTGGACGTTCGAAAGGTGGTTACGTGATAACGCTGGAGTCCACAACGGAGAGCACCTAACCGAGTATGACCAAAAATAAATATTACCATCGGCAGCACAGTAGGGGCGCGCGACAAAAGGAATATGAGAAACTCGGCCCGTGCTGATGCGAAACTGAATAAAACGTAACAAAGTAAACTCAAACGCTAAATAATATACATGGGTAAGTAGATAGCTAAATGCGATTAACTGAGGTTAAACTAAATCAAAAATATATGCAAGAGGTTAAATATGAGTAAATGTGCGTAGAGGGCTTATCACTGAGCAGCTAGATACGTGACCACTGACGACCATTCCACACCGAACCACATGACCGTAACCACAACAGTGACGCGCGACCACCGCATCAACCATTCACACATACATTTCCAACCAGATGACCATACGCGTATCAAGTGCGTACCATACATCTCCACACGCGTCCAACTCATTGCATACGGCCAGATATTACTGAAACAAAAGTGGTTTATGGCGTCAGAACAATAAAAAATACTCGAATCACACTAACCATTCTCTCGACTCCTTCCAGGTTACTGTCACGCACTAGCTCGCCCTCAAGGTCTACTCACGCGCGCCACGCTGAGGCGACGGTGTTCTAGCGCGCGGCTGGAATTCCCCAGATGGTATCGGGTTGTAGGTTAACTCTTCAAGCCAGGAATAAAACGCGGCCGCCGGCATATGCACATTGCTCTTATCTATACCCGAGTTACGCATGCAAAACGCGCGGTGATGGCGCGCCCCACCACAGTTCTTACAGTGAAATTCCTTAAAACAGCTCCCATAATGCACCGCAAGACACTTAGGACAGATCCCTTTCTGCTGCGCGATACGCACTCTCTCTATCATGTCCTTGACCACGTTGCACTCCGCGCTGAAGTGTCGCGTCCCTTCACAAAAAACGCACGGCCGATGTTCTCGCCTAAATCTTCCTTCGAACCTCACTGGCTGCGCGGCTTGCTGCACTGGCTGATTGGGCTCCTGCCCAGCCTCCAGCACGGCGTCGAGAATGTGCTCAAGGCGATGTTCCGGTGGAATCGAAGGGCCTGGGTGCTGCTGTTCTTCTTGTGGGGCTGATTGGCGCGTCGGGTATGTCTGTGATGATTCTTCCTGTTGCGCGTCCGGCGGCTGAAGCGAAACTGTCTGTCCTTGATCTTCCGGTAGGACTTCTTCTTTCTCCAAATTCCTAATTTCGGGTGACGATATAGCGCTGATGTTTCGCGCGACTGAAGAAACGGTTATAGTCGAGGACTGCTCACTCTCTGGGCTCTCTTGTGGTTGCTCTGCATCGGACTGTACCGTAAGACCTTCTCGCTCGATCATGTCAAGGAATTCGTGAGTCAGAGAACTGTGGAGCATCTCATCATAACTCTCTTGCCACATACGCAGAGCTTGAGTATAGGTGCGCGGCTGCAAAGGTGGTGGTCCAGGATCGGCCGGCGCGGCAAGTCTGCGGTACTCTTGATCTTGCTCTGTAAGACTCAATCCTCGACGCGAGATGACACAGTTCATCTGAAGGGCTTCCAATGTGCGCGTCAAGCGGGTGGCATGAGCTATCGCTGCTGACGCGGCCATGGTCTTCTCCGTGATAGTGGCTTCGGTACATCCTAGCGCGGCCAAAGCATCTAAAAAGACTTGCGAGCGCGCAAACAGAGGTGGCAGTAAATACTCCAAGATAAGATCGCGATGGACTGCGATTCCAGTGCTGATGTGCTGCACAATGTGTATATGGCCCATCAGCGCGACATACCTCAGGTTCATCTTGTCCTTGCGCAGCAGTAAAACTTGCGCGTTCATAAAAACGTTATTAGCGCTGTCTAGCACATCCGTTAGCTGGCGCGTATGGAATACTACTTGCGCGGCCTGGTATTGCTGCTCAGGTGTTAAAAGCGCGGCCTGCTGAACTTCCTGCTGTACTGGCGCTAGCGGCGTGCCCGACCTAATAAGAAACTGATAGACCCTGCGGAGCTGCGCGGCTGTAAGCTCTTCTACCGTATGCGGCAGCGCGTCTGTGGAGTCCTGCAGAAGCGGTAGAGTAGGCGCCATCCTATCAGGTGCTGGGTTAGGCAAAAGAGGCGCGTCTGGGTCATTGCTAGCGATGCGCGCGCGTAGACGCTGCTGCTGTTGCTCAATCGCTGCAAGTATCTGCCTGCATTCCAGCTCGTTACTCATGTGCGCAACGCGACGTCTCGCTTCTATGCCTGCCGTTTCCTAATAGCGTCGTCTACTGAAGCCGGGCCTTGTGATCTCGCGCGCGATGTACTAAGCGCTGATGCTGCTGCGTCAAGGGATTGCGCGTCTGGGCTAACTGTGCGCGACAGCGACGACGAAGACTGCTGCATGATGTTGCCAAATACGAAAGTTGAAAGTCCGCACAGCTGGAAAAAGTGCGCTTGATATGGGGTAAATAACAATATGAGGGCTCAACAGAAGAAAGAAGCGCGGCTAACTACAACAAAAAAAATGATGAATAAGGGGTTATGTGCACTGTTATTTTGGAGAGGGCGCAAAATTTTCGGCGTGCACAGCCGAGGGAGCCCTATGCAACAAGGGGAAGAAAAACAAAGAAAAATAATCTTCTTACTTGTGTTGTTCCCTCTTTATCCTCGATCCACAATAGTCGACTGGTGACAGATAGATTTATTGACAGTGGAGAGAATCGTGCGTACAGAACGTATGGGTCTAAATAACAACACTAAATGGATGCTAGGAGCACAAAAATACAGAGCAGCGCGAAAAGGGGGTGAAAATTACAGAAACTACTACAACAAGAAAGAATACTATACTAATGAAGTAAAAAGGTACGAGCGCGGCTGCTCTCAAGTTGAATCTAAAAAATGGATGACGAGCAGGCGATCAATGACATTTCGCAACTCTATCCGACCACTCGAAGCTCGCAATCGCGTCCTATCGTATAACAGTTTTTCGCACCGGGACCGACACGTGCTAAAGGTAGAGTTAGACGGAAAAAAGGTGCATGATCGCGCGAATAACGCTCAATCATACGGAAAACGAGTCAAATAAGAAGAAAAGAAGATAGGTTAACTAGAAAAATAGGAGAAACTTAGAAAAATGACTAAATTACTTACATAAGGGAAAACTGCACTGTCGTGATCACTTCCTAGACAATCCACGGTGTTGTTGCTGCGCCTTCGCGCGGCTGTTACCACTACGCTCCACAACTTCTTCGTCTTCCGCGATTATCTCCAATGGCAACAAGTGATTTACTGCGCGGTCGACTACTTTTCTTCTACCTGTTCTAATTTTGGCTGATCTTACATTGCCGTCTGGTGAGGTGTGAAGTTCCAGGATAAGTCCTAACGGCCAGCTGGATCTCGGCGCGTCCTGTTTCACAAGTACGACTTCGCCAACTCGCGGTGATTTTGCAGAAGGACGGGATTTCGCGCGTATAGCTTCTCTATCTGCTAACGCTCTCAGATATTCTTGCTGCCAGAGGTTCCAAAAACAGTCCAAATCACTCTGCAAAATCCTATAGCGCGTATTCAACGTCTGGTAACTATCGCTCGTCGAATGCGCGATCTTTCGTGGTAAAGTGTTCCTGAGTCGTGCTATCTTGAAATTAGGTGATATCAGGTCGATCGGACGAATGGCCGCACTCGCATTCGGGTTAACCGAATTCACTGGAAAAAGCGGTCTAGTATTCAGGATGGCTTCTACTTCGATTAGGAGTGTTTCGAAGATCCAGATATCCAAGACTTGATTCCGTACCGCCTTCTTCAGCGCGATCTTCACTGATCCCACTAGTCTTTCATAAAATCCTCCCTTCCAAGGTGAATACGGGGTGATGAAAGTCCAACGGATACTATGGCTCGTCAAAAACTGGTCCATCTCAGCGTCTTCCCTGATTTCCGGCAGCTGATTGTTAATAACCTCCTCTCCTAATTTGAACGTCGGCGCGTTATCGCTGGTGACAGTGTCCGGCGTTCCTCTGCGCGCCATGAATCGTCTAAATGCTAGTAAAAATTGAAAGGTGGAATTGTCTCTTACCACTTCCAAGTGCAGCGCGCGAGTCGACATGCACGTAACGAGACAGACCCACACCTTATGGCAATCGCAGTTCAACAAGCGCACGGAAATCGGTCCAAAATAGTCTAATCCAATGTGCTGAAATGGACGACTCCTCGTCACTCTTTCCGCGGGTAAATCCGGAGCGCGCGGATAGGTATAAAGACGACCTTGATATCTCCTGCAAACGACACACCTGGAAATATACGATTTTATGAAACGTCTAAGCCTAGGTATAAAGAATCTCTCACGTAAGGCAGATAACAAATGTGACGGTCCTGCGTGAAAGAGCTGATGATGGTAATGCGCGATTAACTTCTCGCAGAGGGGGTGAGACGATAGTATAAGAATAGGATTCTTACTCGTATCGCTCATCTGCGCGTTAACCATGCGCATATCAACTCTTATAGTACCATCCGTTTCGCGCTTAGTGTGGAGCTTCTTCACATACGTACCGTTCATTTGGCGCTGGCTCTCACGGTAGTGCTCTCGTATGAGCACGAGCTCAGCTGCCATAAAATCGTCCGATGTTATCGTGGGTATAATATTCATCGTGTTGAATGGAAAACGTTCTTCCTGGTCCTCGCGCTGATTGCGCGTCCTGACCCTATGACACAATTTAGTCACGTATTTAAGAATGTACGCTGTTATACGGACTAGCTTCACGTAGGAGTTGGTGCGCGTAAACGGCACAAAAGACGTATACGCCTCCTGGGTACCACTAACCGAATTTACGACCGTCTCAGGTATGCGAAGTTCTTCCGATTCTGCTCCTGGTGGTATGGGCTGTGATGGCTGGAAGGACTTGCATGGCCACTGTGAAAAAGGCGTCGCAAAAAAGGTAGGGCCTGTCCACCAAATGTGGTGTTGCAGCTCCGAGGCTGTCACTCCTCTAGTAGCACAATCCGCTGGGTTGGTCTGCGTGGCTAAATAGTAGAATCCAGTAGCAATCTTCTCTGTTTCCAGCTCGTCCAACACACGACGAATATACTTGACGCGATTAACCACATAGGTCTTAAGTGGTCTCTGGGAGTGAATCCAATAGAGGACTATTTGTGAGTCGGTTAGAAACTTGATCGAACAGAATCTGACCTTCAGCTGGGCCCTCAAAAACTGTACTGTCTTAGCTGCCATATGGGAAGCTAAGAGTTCCATGCGCGGTATCGTGATGGCACCGGGAGGGGCCAACTTTGCTTTGGCGAAAAGCAAAGTAGATCGAGGTGTACCGCGACGAGGGCGCGTCAAAATGTAGATGGCAGTAGCGTAAACGCGTTTAGACGCGTCGGAACATACGACCAGGTCATATGTATCCTCGAAAGTATCACCAATGTAGCGCGGTACGCTTAGCTGAAAACTGCTAATATCCTGCACGATCGAGTTCCATTTCTGGATATCTTCGTCGGTAAGACTGTCATCCCATCCATATCCGAGCTCCCAAAGGTCCTGAATGAACATTTTCGCTTTTATCAACAAGGGTGCCAATAGTCCGAGCGGGTCGAATGTCGACGCGTAAACTTGTAGCGCGGTTCTCTTACTCGTGACTGCTTGACGCGCGATGTTGAGTGGCACGTGTAGTGTATCAAGCGTAGGGTTCCATCTGACTCCTAGTAAGCCGACGTACTGCCCTTGTGCTAACATGCAACTATCTTGAGGAATCGAAGCCATCGCTCTCTGGTTGTTAGACATAAACTCTCGAAGGTTCATGTGCATCCTAGAGAAAATATCCTTGCACTCCTTACACTTGTCTACACATTCCTGGGTGGTCTTAGCTCCGACTATAACGTTATCCACGTAAGTATTGGCAAGTATTTCCTCCTTAAGGCGATTGGCTGGATCTTGCTCAAGAAAGTATCTAATCGACATGCTGAGTAGAAACGGTGATGCGTTCACGCCGAACGGCAAGCGCGCGAAGCGCATTATACGTAGATTCTCTGAAGAAGGTGGCTGGTGCACATCCTTCAACCAGAGGAATCTGGTTGAGTCTCTCTGATCCTGATGTAAGTGGATCTGATGAAATGCCTTCTCGACGTCTGCAATGACAATGTAAGGATGGAAACGACTTCGCATCAGAGTTCCAACTAAATCCGGCAGAAGCGAAGGTCCTTGATGGAGACAGTCATTTAGACTGGGGACTCCTTTCTGGTGACTCGACGCGTCAAGGATATATAGTACACTTTAGGGCCTTGCGCGGCAACGCGCGTAACATCCTCTATAATGCCCATCTTCAGTTGCTCATTGATGGTGTGACAGTAGTCGTTCCAGACTGATGGTGTAGCGCGGAACTTCTCATACTGATTCTGCAACCTGCGAAAGGCTAAAGCTTTGTTGTCGGCAAGCGGAGGATGATCTGACTTCCATGGAAAGGACACATAGATGTTGCCGTCCTCCTCCTAACGGTATCGTAAAAATGCTTGATGGTATTAGCATCTTCTGTGTTCTCTTCCTCTTCCGTTGCAACCAGATCCAAGCCGAAAAGACTCTTGATCAACTGGTAGGTTGCAACTTCGTCATCATCGAGCGGAGTCTTCGTGGCTAACAGGGTGTTCGTGGCAAGTGGATGCTTCTGTCCAGACAAGACGGGTCCAAATCTGGTATGCGACAGTATGAGGCCAGATGGTAACTTCTCATTCCTGTGCAGGTCCACAATACGCCAATAATTGTCTATCCCGATTAGTACATCGACTTCTACTCTGTCTCCTAAATCGACGATGTCTTTGTCGTTCTGGGTGTTGGTCCGTGGGACTGTCGTGATCCTCTCGCGCGTCCATAGATCGAGATAGATCGGGTAGTTATACTGGTCCCAGAGTATGAGTGTAACCTCTGACGATTCTTCCGTGAATTGGTGACCGCCGAACGTCAGAGTCGTAAATGTCCTGGTGTTACGAAATGATAAGCCTAGATGTTTGGCTAACGAGGTGCAGATGAAACTAAATTGAGAGCCACTGTCTAAAAAGACTGTGAGCAACTCATCCGTATCCGTCTTATAATTCTTTGTAACTGCATGGACTACCATCAAGCGCGGTTGCGCTGATTCCTGCGAACACACGGATATACAGGATGATGGTGAGTGAGAGCCTACGCGAATTCGGTGATGATCCAGGGGCTCTGCTTGCGCGTCCACGCTAGCTACGGGTTGATCAGGAGTACCGGTGGCGCTGTGTACTGCGGAAATACTACGCGACCTGCGTGCCGAAGAGGCGCGTCTAGCCGGTGAAGTAGAAGGTTGTCGCCTAGATGGTGATGGCGGTTTAGGATAAGCGTTACGCGATGACGATGCGCGCGAGTAACCTCGATATGCGCGCGGCACTGATCCCTGAGTCTCTCTGTAAAATTGCACACGTTTCGGAGAGTAAAACCTGTCAAGACTACGCCTGGTGTTTCCATTCGCTGGAGGTGGTGGCGTACGTGCGCGCGGAGGATTCCAACAGAGAGCTCTATGGTGTATCCTACCGCAGTACTCACACAATGGCGCATCACACTGAGCGTATCCGTGACCTCGCTGTAGACACAACCAACACAATCTGTAACGAACAAGAATGGATCTTCGTTGTGCTACGTCTCGCACGATGTTGCATCGTTCGGATGGATGTCCGGGATCACGGCAAAAGGCGCAGTATGGTTCGTAAGGAATCGCATAGCGTGGTCTGCTAGGGCTGCGCGACGCATTACGAGGATAATACGGGGTTGGAGGTCTGTTATGCCTACTGTAGGGTGATGGCGTGCGCGATACCGACGGACGTCTGGGATAGTACGATGACGTACGATAGCGCGTGAACGCTGAATCCGTGCGGCTCACGCTCGGATACCTACGTGGCAAAGAAGAATCGTGACGGACTGATGCCTGGGAGTTATACGCAAGATGTTCTGATGGGTCAGCATCCTCAATAGTTTCCAATCTGTCGATGATGGTATCCAACGTCGAAAGTAACTCGTCAACTGTCCACATCGCGTCTCCCTTGGTCTTGTATTCGCCGATCTTCTCGCGCGTCCGTCTCGGGAATTTAGCACGAATAATCTTGAGAGTACCGATAGCACTAGAGTCCTCCTTGAGATGTGTAAGCTGGGTCCATATAGCCTTGACGGTACAATATGTCGCGCGTTGCGACATCGGCGAATCTGATGCTGGTGGCAATTGCATCAACTTATCCCACAGCCTATTACGGAGGATCTCTGGTCTACCGTACGTATTCGTCAAGGTACGTACTGCATCCTCATAGTTTTCTGCCGTCGATTGAAAACCGGCAATGATGCTCGCGGCTGGTCCTCTTAGATGGGACTTGAGGTACATGAATTTCATCGATGCTGGCACGTTGATGTTATTGTGCACGGCTACCGAGAAGAGATCCCAGAACTCCAAAAAATTGTCGATGTCGCCATGGAAGGTCGGAATCTCAAACGTAGGCAACTTTAACGTCTGTTCCACGGAAGAAGGGGAAGAATTGACATTAGGGACTAAAAAAGAACTGAATGGATTCGACTGATGAACTGGAGGGGGATTCACAAAAGTTGGGTGGACCGAAGGGTCATGGGAGGGGTTGTCGAATCCTTGCGCGACACTTGGCGCGCATGCTGGCGGGGGTGCTGGACGCGCTGGCACGACTGCCTCGGGATCAGCTGGACGATCCCTATCGTGCGATGAAGAATGGCTCGCGATTTCCATTCTTACATCAGGCGCGAGCTGCTGGGGATAAATGGGGTCTCGGGTGGGGTTGGGGGTAGGGTTAACAAGAGAGGGAGGAACAGTAGAGCTGCGAAAATAATATAATGCCTCCGAGCTCGGCAGAAGTTTGATGGCAGCATCAACACGATCCCGGAGAGTTTCGGCCTCCTCCACAAGGTCATCCAGTCCACTGGCATCCCAATGGTCCTGAATCTGCTGGAGGAGGGGGAGCTCGCCGTTCTCGTCCGGGTGCTGCCGAGCAAACTCCTCGGCCTTCTCTCGCTGGGCACGAAGAGAATCAACAGTACGACCGAAGGAAGTAAAATGAAAAAATAGCAAACTTTTACGACTAAGAACAAGCTGTGGATCTCTACCTGCCTCGATGGTAAAATCCAACGGCTCCAAGATGGCCTCGTCAAACTCCGCGATCTTCTTGCGGATTGCGTTGGCGGCTTTAGTGATCCTAGCTTTGTGGGCACCGAAAATCGACATTACCTGGAAAAAATAGGAGAGAAAAACAATAAGGAAAAACTATGTACACACAAACGATAAATATGACGTGAGTAAATATGACGAGGATAACTAGGCTGACTAGATAACGACAACGGGGTGATCCGACGACTGGAGTTCCTAAAGGCGTAAGGCAAAACAGGTATAATACAACCGGGTGTCACTGAAGAACCTACGCGACACTGAGTGGCGCGTGTATAACAAGGTGCCAAGACAAGTAACCTGCCGGAGGCCGGCCAGAGACTACTAAGGGCTCCTATTGGCGAATCGGAGGGGTCATCTGACGATGCCCTTGGGCACTTGAACCAGTTCCTAAAATAAACCGTGTTCCTTCCAATTGCCGTCTCCTTCTGTCATCTATCCTTCGATGGTATCCTTTCGGCATCCTGCTCGGCAAGTCGAACTTCCTAACACGGCTGCTCTCCGCCTATACTAGGGGTAGTGGCAAACTAAAGGGGTTAAGCCTCAAGGGCCCAAGTGCGCTTATTGCACCAAAGAGGCTATACCTTACGGTACCCCATGTAGCACTACGCCGGGGATAGAGGTCACTACGGGTCCGAATTGGGCCAATCTTGCACTACTGACTAAACTACTACACTAACTACGGACTACAGGTGGTTGGACTACGGGGACAGACTAATACCGGTTGTAGAGAAAACTAAACTACAGTAGAGCGAAAAGAAAGAAGTGATGTGAAAGAAGAACTAACAGGCTATGGATGCAAGGGCCCCTAGTACGTATCCATCTCGCCCACACTGACATACTCTATTAATAATACACTTTACTAAAACTGCAATACTAGATACTAAATAAAACATGTGACCCCCACTACATACAACTTACTCCCGTCTCCCCGGTCCTGGTCCAAGCTCCTATGTGTATAGGACGGTGCCGCTCCCCTACCCTCGCGCTTCCTCACGCGTCCGACGATACAACTCCATCTTCGCGCGTCCACCGATACAACTCTGCGCGACCCTCACAACATCTCCATCCTCGTCCCATCGCCTTCCGATAGCGCGTACAACGATACAACTCTGTAACGCATTCGACGATACGACTCTATATACACGTACGACGATACAATACTAAGGCGCGTTCGACGATACAATACTGCTTATGCGTGCGACGATACAATTCTAAATCGCGCTCCTTCAATCCTTCCTATCCAGGAACAATCGTTCCAATTCCCACGATCTTCCTGCGATCCAACTTTCCTGGCGCGTACTCCGATACAGCTCCTGCGCGTTCGACGATACAATGCGAAATACGCGTACTCCGATACAACTCTGATCGCGCCCCTCGACCTGCGCAATCGTGCTCGACGATACAATGCATAATGCACGTACAACGATACAGCTCTGTGCGCACCTATCTGACGACTCCATTCCACTCTATCCATCTTCTGCCTTCTGCAATCGTATTCCTGTGCGTTCCAACGATCCATTGGGCGATCCTGCTCATCCTTCTACTCTCCTCTTACACAACAACTAAAACTACCCAGACTCGACTTGCGCGGCCGCTGGTACTCTCCGGTACCCCCTGTCGAGCCCGCCAATTGACGACACCGGCCCTGCACCTGAGTAGCTCCTCCTAGCACAGCAGGCTCACCAGGTATTGCACGACGTGGGCGCTCGATCGATTGGGGTTCCAGTTGGCAAGTTGCCACAGTCTTCCCGACTTTCCCCCCGCGCTTACACGAAGTGCTTCGCACCCTGGCTAGCCCCGCAGCCTTGCTACTGGTTACGTAGGTATTCATCGCGGTCTTCCTGAGTGCCTGATCTTCTTATTGCGTGCTGAGCGTGGTAGACATCGGGTCCGTTACGCACGCATGGGGGACGAAACAGCGCGTTCTACTGACGCTGACTCCTGCTATCCCACTCGATGTCATCCTGCACGACCAACGAAACAACAAACTCCATGCGCGGGCGGAAAACATCATCCACCATGCGCTCGGCGTCGATGCACCATGTTGCGGCTCGGTGTGCTCAGCACTTCGCCCAGTGCTCGTCCGCCTGACAACACAACTCCTAACTCCAGGAAATACCGCCTCGGCGCTAGTGTGCGCACTACCTAGCGCGTCTGCTCGACGCCTACACCCCTCTAACCCGTACGACACGAACATCACACGCACGACTAGATTACATCACATTTATCTAAAACTACACAAAATAACAACAACTAATAGAACAACAAAAATACTAAAACTACTAAAAAATCACTAAACACTACTCAGACTACTACTACTACTCCAGGACAAGAAGAATACGCACGGGACGAGCCGCCTCGTCCCGTGCTGCCGATGCCTGATGAAGATCAACTCCAACACGAGTAGTTCCGGGTTCTCCGAAGGGTCAGCCGCAAGACCCTAGCCCTTACGGGACAGTGAGTCCCCTCTCCACTCCCGCAATCCTTTCCGCTGCTTGTTAGACTACAATACTAGCTGCGCGTCTCCATGCACAAGAAGAATATCAAAGGCTCAACCGCTCGAAACCGTTGATCATCTGCGGGAGCTACTGGAGGCGCTGCCAGCGGGTTGATATCATCAAAAAAATCGATAACGAACGAAGCTCAAGGAGGCGCAGACCGCAGCCCACGCGCCCTTATATACCCTGAGACTTGGCAACGCGCCCAGCAGGAGAGGTCTTGGCGCGATCTTGATAACGCGCCAAGTAACGCGACAGCCAGCGCTCCCGGTCTCCTGTTTCGAGGAGTGGCTTGCATCGCGCGAGCCGCGACAGTCACTTTGATATTTGAATAGCTGTTTTCACTAAGCAGGAGGAATGAAAATAGCGTGTTCGTGTTTCGAAGGGCTATTTATTCAGTCACAGTTTTGGTTGATTTTATTTTGCACTAATTTGTAGTGAAAGCTACATTGATTCTCTTTGAAAGAAATACGATCTCCCATCGATAGTCAGCGAAAGCCAGTCAGATCCTCATGTCAAAACTCATTACTCTTGGAGCAGTATGTGACTGAATCTTTTTCTTTGTATGAATTGCTGAAGACCAGAGGAGTTTTGTAGGTGCTTCTATCGGTAACGACTGGCGAAGTCAACTTTGGTGAGCTTTTCATGACCAGATCTATGCGTAATCGGGATAGTTTTTCCAGCGAAGACCTATATATGGGAAAGTCAAGAAGGACCATTGAAGGTGAGGTCAGAAGTGGTTTGATTGATTAGTGTGGTTAGTCAAAATCTCCATTTTCAATGCAAGGAGCTCACATTCCACTCAAAATTTGAGTCTCATAACAGATAATTGCCAGTTAAAATGACTAAATGTGTTAGTATAGTCCTCTTTGAAAGCTATAATTTGAAGAGTAACAGCGTTTTGAAATTTTGATAAAAAAGTCATATCAATTCAGCGTGTACTTGCGGAAAACCCTCTTTACGAGGACGAAGACGAAGAGGTACTGAAAGATTTGAATACTTTATTACGTCTTTGCTCCATGTTCTGAATATTCTAGGCAGAATATGGAGAGGAGGAAGACGAGTACCTCTGGGAAAATGACGAAAAAATACGAAAAATATTTCAATTGTTTGTAAGTGTTCCTTTTTCATATTTCCAGTTATACACTTTTTTGCTTGTACTCAGTGGAATTTTGTAGCTTTATTTTTTATGATTAATATTTGTATGCACTAATATTCTAAAAAAGAGATGTGGATTGCTAAAACCACTTCGTGCAGATTTTATTATTTGATTACAAAATTGTGGAAAACTCCAACAACTCAGCACAATTTACAACGTCCTTTCACTGACCAATTGAAGCCTGGCGGATTCAATGATGACATGAAAGAAGCGGTAAAGGTAGGGAATAAACTACATTTTCCTTATAATCTATCACCTCCTCAAACTTGTGGTAAAAAGTCGACTGTTCAAATTATTGAACGATTCCTCACCCACACAAACAAACCAAGGTCCGACACACGTGTTCGTTGTATGTTCTATGTATCTACTTAAAATTGCAGCTCTAAAAAGTCACTCTGTTTGCGAATAACTGAAGCATTCTCTAGAAAGTTCAATGGAATTTTCTAATGCTTCTCACATTAAACGGAAATGCTCCTTAAACTTTGCAATCGATACTAATTTATGCCTGTATTTGAGAGAGTTAATAATGTTTGGATTTCGCTATGGGCAGGAGGCGGATGGCGCAATTACTATTTGAGAACCTTGCATCAAATATAATATAGATTAATTTCTGGTGCTTATAAGCAAAACACTAGGAAAAATCGAATGCATTTCTGTTATTTGTTTTGAATAGACTGCCCCAATAATGAAGGTCGAATTTTCACTGCCACCATGAACTAGTAAAAAAAAAGAACGGTAATCTCATAGCGATGATCGAACTGCTGGTAGTTCCCAAGATTAATGAACCAATGTTTACCGTTCAGGACAAAGAGGAAGCTAAATGGATCACAGAGAACGAAAATTCACCGGATGTTGTACTAGCAAGACCAGAAGTTGAAGCAGACACTCCAGCTCCCTCTCCGCTTAACTTCCGGCATGGTTGGGCTTCAGTGGAGGAGTCTGTTATTAGGGCTACACGCGAAGGTAAGTAATCTTGAGTAGGTCCTGGACGGGTCCAAAAAATAGCATATAATACATGAATTATGAATGCAGATATACTGACAAATGGTCACTTGACTCATTTTGCCCCATTATCAAAAAAAGATAAGCCAAATTTTTTTTGAAATTTAATGAACACGTACGTATATCAGCTGGAAGTTCAAAGCCCTCGAGTTCTTTCACACCATAGAATTTCCAGCTCGTGCTATTTCAAACATTTTTAGAAAGGCTGACATACGTTCTATCGGTTAATCGTTCAGAGCTTATATAAATTTCAAGCTTTAAAGCGTTCATCCACAAGTGAGCGGACTATAGATGATTGCCAATAAGTAAATTCCTTGCTATAAGTAAGTAGTTTGCTCACAGTAAGTATTGTCGCGATTTAGAGTACAATGAAATGTTGAACATTGTTGTATGAAATATTCGTTCAAATTCGTGTGACCCACCACTGTTCTCAAAACGTAATGTCATCCTGAGAGCTTTTTGGAAGCCCGATAACGTCTTTGGAACAACGAGTCCAAGATCAGGCAGTTACGATATTCAACAAGCAGTTTGAAATGCGTCACTTTTACTTTTATTGCACAGTTTTTCATTTCAATCGCTATAATGACGCCAGTTAAAATAATCTTGAAAAATAAAGAAAAGTTGTGAGCTCTCAAATTTCCGAGGTAATCCTATGGCAGGCTTCATACCGCCCACGAATCCGCACACCCACCGGTACTCGCCGCAACCGCATTAACCGCCCGTACCCTTCCGAAGTCACAGTCAAGCTACTGCTGAGTAAGTTGTTCTTATATGTAGGCACACTACATAGGGCGTGAGAGGTATTTTACATGTGCTTCAACATGCCAACTCAGAAATGTCTCTTCGTTCCTTTCTTTTTTCATTTTTCGGCTTTGGGAGGCTACCATTAAGTTCGAGCGCGATCTGAAGCCCACCTATAACGTGCAACTATTTTCGAAGCAGGATTGTCTTAGGAGGTCTTTTTATCGCAGAAAATTATATTTAAATAGACGGATATGGGAGTCTACCGGACGCAGCACTACTCAATGGGAGGGCTGTAAAATAAGTGAAAAGCTGCTTAGATTGGACATTGAGTTGATGGAGGCTCAAGACTTTTGAAGCAATATTTTTATGCCAAAATCAACTTCGATATTCGAAGCTGGCTTATCGTTTCAATAGTGGCAAACATAAGTAATCCATCAGATTTTATCCCCAAAATTGCTAGAACATCGTCTCTCGTGTTAGATGTTTCTGTGGCCATATATGTGTTTGTTTAGAGTATCTGAAGTCAAGTCGGATGCGATCTCAGTTCATTTGGTTGATGATTATCGCAACTATCATTGTCTTGATCTACTGCAGTTACCGACAGAACCGATCAAAGCTTTGGAAGAATTTCTTATATCCAGAAGGTTTCAAACAGTGAATTTGAATCTGCATATTTGTTCAATATGTGTGTTGTTAGTGGGCTTTTACATGTTCATTATAATGCATTCATTACTGAGAGATTTTTTATTACGCAGGTTGATATTTACAGCTTACGAGGGACAGTTCCCAAGTCAGCTCCGCCAACCCGGATGAGTCATATGTCTCCGTAACAGGCTTATTCCAGATCTGCTTTCCCTTTCTGCGGAGCGGCTTTCCGAGAGAGGTTATGAGCGTTTAAAAGTCTAAATTTGTCATGTTTTAAGGGCTTAAAATTGGCAAAACTATAGGACCACACATGAAAGTGATTTGTCACTTTTGTATCAAGTATGCTGATTACAAGGACGTGACACAGATAGTGAAATTCCGTTAGGTGTTGTTTTACTGACTTTCAACTAATTTTAAGCCACGTTAATCATGACAAATTTAGACATTTAAACGCTCATAACTTCTCTCGGAGAGTTGCTCCGCAGAAAAGGAAAGCAGATTTGGAATCAGCGTTCCAAGCCCGTTAAGGTGATATATGACTCATCCGGGTTGGCCAAGCTGTCTTGGAAACTCTCCCTTGTTAGTATCATCGCTTTAGATGTTACTCTATTATAGCTGAGAAATTTGCAGTTGCATGCCAATATTTCAAAAAATTGACGATCACCAAACAGAGACCAAGCATCACCCTCGGCCGATTTCTAAAAAATTCCTCTGTTCTTCTAGTATTTTCTGTGGCCTTGCACTGACATGACTTGAGTAATTGTACGATTGTTTTTTTTATTCATTCATCTATTTATTGCATTTTTGAGGCAGGATACGTTTTTGTTTAACTACAATTTTCTCGATACCCCAACTCCTAAGTGAGCATGAAGTGGTCTTGGAACAGTACTGTCATATAAACAAGAAATGGTTTTACTTCTCAGTCTCGGAAGCAAACGGGCTCAACACTTCAAGTGAAATATTTTTGAAGGAATCTCCACTCTGTCATATCCTTCCCTCACTAGGCTGATTTTTATCTTGCTTGAAATTGTAGCAAAACCAGAAACAATCCATCCAAGCACTCACATATTTTTTGCGCTTTATAAGATTGCATTATCACTACTTGAGCTTCAGTAAATTAGCAATTCGTGCTTAATCTTGTATCGGAAGAAAATTTGTATTTTTTTTAAAATTTATACGTTTTTCCAAGATTTCAAGTTTAATAATTTTTGAAGTAAACTAAACTTTTGAAGTAACAGAAGCACAGTTAGGCCATACGTCTAAACTGCCTGAAAATAATAAATTGGCTAATGATAGGTTCGACTTGCGGTACCAATAAATGGTGTCGACAAATTTTTGTCTAGTGTTTGGTATCTCTCGAAAGAGCAATTTGATGAAAGTGGAGTTGTATTATAAATCCTGTTCAAGTATAATTTATTTCGCAATGAAGGAAAAGCGCTAGGAAGAAATTCCCAATTTTTCACTTTTGCGCAAATTAGAGGGTATTTCGCTCGTTGATCAAAGATTTTCAGAATCATCTTCATGCTAAATAGTGATACTTGTGTTTACTAGAAAAGCAATTTGCTGATCTCTAGGTCCATCTCTACTTGAGAACGAAGGTCAGAAAGCCACTGAATTTTTGAAAAAGGCCATGTTGGGCACTGCCCTATCCAGTATTGGTAGTAGAATATCTTGAACATCGATAAGTAGCATAGTAGAAACTTTGAACCAACTCCCTGCAAAAAATCGGTTGCGTTAAGAAGAGTTCTCGTAGAGGTTTGGATGCCAATACAAACTTTTTTAGCCAACGTGATAGTCCCACTTGAGGGGATTAGAAAGGAATGGTCACATGAAGAAACGGAGGAGCCATACAACTGAAAAAGTCAAAGCAGAGAACGGAGAAAAGAAAATGGATGAAAGTGGAAAAAAGCCACATGAAATTTTTGAAGCGCAGTGCGAAAAGTTGGTGGCTTTGCTTGAACACGAATAAATTTGCAAGATGAGCCGTGCCCTATTTCATCCTACTGATATATCAGCGAAGTATTCGGGAAAGGCAGTTACGCCCCCAAAAACCTGCGAAATCTTTGAGTCCTTGAAAAAAAACTCTTGGTTACTACACTCATGTTTGATGTGATACAACTGCTGCTGCATAAAGATGTTGCAGTGGTAAGGCAGGTGGGGGGGGGGGGGGGAGGGTTTGGGGTGGAGCAGGAAAACGAACCGAGAGTGTATCGCAACGTCTTTGGAGAGTGACCAACATTACTTGCAAAATTGTGCAGCTGACTTGTCGTTTCAGTTAGGTTGGAAAGAAAAGAAAGTAGCTCTTTCGGATTTTTCCAGCTGAAATTGATAATTTTCAAGAGCTAGTTCATATCCAAGGCCAAAATTTCATGAATAGATATTGAAGGTTTGTAGTATACAGGGTGTCCCAAAAAAATGTGAACACTGTTTGATCGTTGATAACTCCGTTGCTTTCATGTCTTTCGCCGAACTTGAGGCACCATTCTATAGAGCGAGGTTGAATTAGATTTACAGTACGAAGCAGAACTTCGATCTCCCTTCGTTACTGCAGGATTACGGTATGAACTTCTAGCATGTGGATTCATTGTGAAATATGCCATTTGACAAAATTTTTTCAAAAAATCTGAGAAATTGTGTGCTATGGATTTTGCGCACGCTTATTTCAATACACAACTTTTTACGAGTGTTTTTAGTTTTTCAACAAGATAATCACATTTTTGACAAGTGCTGGAAATTCAGTTATCCAGGTTTACCTAGGATAATCTTGGAAAGAAGAATTGTGGCGGCTCGGTGGGCCCTAAGCACCTAGACTTACCCGAGATACCCGTGCGCTCTCCCACTTATTACATACGACGCATGGCACTAGCCTAGCACTTTGCCCTAGCGCGTGCGAAACAATAGTAAATTACTAACATTTTATTCTTATGACCCAAAAAGAAACAAACAAACGCTACGCTACAATACTAAACTACAAATAAAGGAAAACCCCAAACACGGGACAGGGTGCCCCATTCCGTGCTACCGATGTGCGCGACTATAAACACAAATAAGAGGCTGCTTCCGAGGCTTCACCAATACAGATCCGCCACGCGTCGCCCGATACCAGGCGCGACACCTCTCCGCTCCCGAAGTTCGCAAAATCTTAAATCCCAAAGGTTCCAAAAGTAGCTCGTCCAAACAATCCCAAATCAGATTTGAATTTCAATCCAATGTACAACTTTCGATCCGCTCGACCGCTAACGCAGGAGAGACATCAAAGGCGGGAATTAACTGCCAGGACGAGCACAATGGAAAACATACGAAGAGATTATCGATCGAAAACGAAAGCGAACAGACGCTGCAATGAGGCGCCGCCGCTACATATAGCCTTTTTGCTGGCAACGTGCCAAGGCGAGTAGATGTCCAGCGGCGATTGCGGCAAGCGTGGGAAAGTACCGTAATCGTCGCCGGATAGCGCGGCAGCAACCAGTGCTCCCGGCCTCCTACTTCTAGGAGCGCTCGCATCGCGGAGCCGCGACAAGCATCACAGTAAAACGGGAATTTCAAATTCGAATTCAGCGGCTAACATTACCGTAGTATAGTGGGTGCCCCAGCCAGCTTCCCACAGGTACCAGCGCGACGCACCCGCAGCGCACGCCTTCAACGCGCTCCTCGACTCAACCTGCTTAGGAAGATTCCTTGATTTTTGTTTTGTTTGGTATTGTTACTCTCTAATCTTCCTATTTTAGGTTCAGCGACCATAGACATTGCCTATGATGTGTTTTTACGTGCACTGAAATCCCGAGCACCTTTCTTTTACGTATATCTCTTTTTTCTTAACTAGTGAGGATTTTCGTCATTTCTAACAACAAGCAGGGCATAATCAAAGGTTTCTCTTGCATAAGCGTGCCATTAGATGCAATTCTTGAATAATGGTTGCATCTAAGTCTATGTGAAAGCTTTCGAAAAGCTTATTGTGCTTTCTTTTTCGACTGTGCTCGTGTTCCAGCTGTTCCAGCTGTTTTACATTTTTGACTTTTTTCTACAGAGAAGTGAAAATATTGTCAATGATGCCTGCTTCTCCTTTCTGTTTCACTTATTACCTTCTTCAATGATTGAAGACTTTCACACTCGCAGCGACTGACTGGAAATTGCGACTAGTAGAAGTTTTACTTATTATATTCTTGCCTAGGCTTCTTTCGAGTTAGGCTTGGACATTTCCACTCTTCATTTCACTCACATTGTATTTAGAAATGCTTACTACTCATAACATTAATGAGAAGCATCAGGCCGAGCGCGCGCTGCGTGTGCGCCGCGGAGGTACCTATGGGAAGCTGGCCGGGGCCCAGACTATATAAGAGTTTTTGGCTTGTCTGGTTTTGTTTCGAGGCAGAATATAGCCTCCAATGGCCTAGAATCCTTGTGAAGTTCCTACCCTAATCCTACAGTAATGAAGAGCGATCGACGACTCCCTCCATACAGTAGATCCAAGCTAAACCCGCTCTATAGAATGGTGCCTCAAGCTTGGAGAAAGACATGAAAGCAAGGGAGTTACTGACGATCAAACAGTGTTCACATTTTTTTGGGACACCATGTACAACTTTATACGCGGGAGGGGCGAAGGACTACTTAAGGCGGAGTCTGCCATTTTCTGTTCTTCTTTTTTTTCTAGTTTTTAAGCACCAGAATATGCCTACGGATAGGTGACATTACTACATGCTAGGGAAAAGAAGAGGTTTGTAGATATTGGAGAGTGAAAATTCGGTAAGTTTCAGCTTTGAGCTTTGCGTAAATCAAGACTCAAGCCAGATTTCAAAAGCCATCATGTAAAGCTTACTATGCTCTATCGAATGGTGTCCTCACGTATTTTTTTGCATTCGTTTAGTTGATTTGCTATGAGAAACGACGTTCTTTTCCTTCCAATTTGATTAAAAAGAATGTGTGACTGAAGATTTTGAAAAACTCAAATTTTGCAAATTTTTTTGCGGTTCGCCATGCCCTTTTGTTGAATTTTTGTTCGCAAAGTCTTGACTCAGACGTAATATCGTTAATAATTCCAAGAATAATACTGAAGTATCTGCGTTCAGTGTTGGCACCCGGCCATTCAAGGTGATATGTCCATTGCTCAAGAAAAAAGAAAGTAGTAAAGTAAATGCTGATCGGCTTTCGTTTGTATGGACATGGTTTTTAGTCTATCACTATCATCGCCCTTCTTCAAGAAACTTCCGCAATCTGTAAACTACGTAGTTTCGATTTTGTCGAAGATGCCTATTCATATCCACAACTAGCGTTGAGCTGCATTATTCGAAAAGTTAATTTTTGCTGTTGAATAAACTGAACGAGCACTTCAATGAGCTTACCGATCGCACATAAAGTACTGCCTAAGATTACATTGAGTTCATTACTGATAATACTATTATTATTCTCACTCACAAGGGAACGTGTATTTGTCAATATTTTCTCAAAAACTAGGTTATCACTGATAATACCATTGTTGTTCTCACTCAGTATTTTCTCAAAAACTATCATTTTCACAAAGCCTATCTTTTCCTCTTTCTTTACTTTAGGGATCGATACAACTTTTGGCATGCTAGTGCAATCTACATCTCTTCGCATATTTTGATACATTGCGGTGACCGGAAGGTTGGGTGGTGGGGGAAGGGAGGGAGTATGGAGAGGACTATCGTGAGAGCTGTTTAGATGAAGAAAGTGAAAAGTTTGAAATGCTCTAAAGTTAAAAAGGGTAAAATCAGTAAAACTCTGCGACTGCGACCGTCAAAATTATATCACAACCGACCTTCTGCCGCTTATCAGTAATTGCATCTCACTTCGGACGCCATGTGCGAGCCTCCTCCTGCTTATGAAAGTGAGGCATCAGTTCTTAGCCTTCAAACTAATCTTCTATCCAATACCTACAAAAACAATCTTGAAGTGGCAATCACACCCCGCTCAAAATTAACAACTTCGACTTATAAATAAATTTTAAAGTGTATGGTGATTTGATCATGTGTCACTATTCTAATTAATGAAGATATCTCAGCGCTAAATAAATCGAGCTATCCACGAACACCGACAGCTCCCATTCTTACACCATGCCAACCATCTCCGAGCGTATATTGCGTGCCCTACTCAACAATGGAGCAGCCGGGTAACTCCAGTTTTCCAGGTAAGTCAAATCAGTTATGATTTTTGAATAGTGAGCCCAGCTGCAGGTCAGTTCTTATAGTAATAATGATTTTCATCTTATCAAAGAATCATGATTTTGGAGTATCGGCTAAATGTGGTAATTCGATTCTTACATGAAGTCGTATTAAGAAAGAAAGCGGCTTAGCGGCTTAGCAAGCTATACCTTGCTCTATACACGCTTCGAATCAATTTGATCATATGTCAAACCAAATACAATACATATGCCGGCTTTTTACAAAGAACAGCGTAGTATGCATTTTCAAGTACATACAAAGTTTCGACTCTATCGCGGTCCGTAAATCTTTTTACGCCCAACTCTAAAACGAAATGCTCTATAAGATACAACTCCCGCGGAAGAATTTGAGTGGCAGACTATTAATGACAAAAACTACATAAGTAACTGTTTACAAAAAGCACCGTCTGAATTCGTGTCCTTTGCTGAGTGTCACTGAATGTTTTTACATGGCTGTTGATAAAGCCCTATCATTGGTCCAAGGCATTCCTTCGAATTCATTGTTCGAAGGCAAGATCCGGAGAAAGTATGCTCGCGTTATGGTAGGAGATGGTTGAATCGGAGGACAACTGCGCAAGGTTTTGCTAAGCGTCGTCATTTCTCTGTCGAAAAGACTTTTCAGGTTTTTTAGAGTCAGATGTTTTTATGTCTTAAGGTCCAAGCACATATCACTGACTATATTTTACCCTTGATTCTCCCTAAAAACTGTTACGAGCACTGCATGGCGATTATCTGCATTTCGGTTGTGATTCTTTTTCGACGTGACTCCTGTCTTCTTATTTCTCAAAAATCACGTATAGATAAAGTGTACAGACTGCACATGTTGAGGCTTGCATACTGGTAGGAGATGGATCAGTTTCCAAAACAATTCTAAATTACGTTTGATGCAGAAGCTTCTTCATTATAAATGTCGTATAGTTACTTTGAGCAGCGTTCGATGCGAAATTCCTTCTGTTTGAAGCAGCTTTTTTCCGATTCGAATCCTTCGACGAACGGACTTTTGCGACTCTTGCAACTCTTTCGGCCGGCACTGCATAGGACTAGCTGGCATCTCTGTCCCTGCCGGTTTTAGAATCTAAAACGGAGGACTGGGGTGTACAAAGGCGCCGCCTGCAGCATGTAGGCGGCGCATGAGGGTGCATGTGTGGCGCCACGCCGCCAACGCGCCAAAGATGAAGGCGTTTATGATGAAATATGTTGCAGCTATCCCTTGGAAAAAGGCCGAGACGAAGCTGTAAGTGCCATGTTGCTCATAGGAACAAAGCAAGAAGATTATGCACTTACAGAAGGAGAGGCGAGGGCGCGAACTCCGCACAATGCAACAATTCACGCAACTCGTGCTTGTAGAACATCACGGGTCCTTCGTTGTCCATGATAACTACAAAAAAATCAAAGCCATAGTTATACTTCATAATCTTCTTCCTCTACGACGCCACACCTGATCCGTTTGATCCGGTTGATCAATTTTAGTACTGCTAACTTCATCGATTCAAGTAACATCAAAACGAATTATTGGATCAAGAATGGCGTGAGTCTTATAAGCGCTATTACTCATGAAAAATGATGAAAACGGTGGGGGAAAACTGAAGTGACTGAAAGCTTGAAAGTTTGGAAATGAAAGTTCAACGTTGAAACATTTGAAAGTACAACGGCTATTGAGCAATGACTTGCGAAATCATGACGCAACACTCGTTGCGGGACCCCTGCTGCCGCTGCCAGCGCCTTCTTGGACTCACCAACCATTTAAAAGGTTATAACCCACTGGATGATTCTTGATATCTGAGTAATTGAACTCATACAGGAAGAAGGCAATCAAATGAGATAACTCACTGAACGCCACAAAAGCCTTCACCTCTTGTCATTTTCATCACCTTTCCTCCATTACTTTGTGGTTGGTATACGTAAGTTCTGAAACAATGGCTAGGTATACGACTCAAACTCAGCATATTAATGCTTACCATTACCTCATGTCCTATACGGATACCATGCCTTCGTCATCATGTAGATGATGTTTCCCGAATCGTGATCGATGCCTACAGCCGTAGAAACATTGCTGTGGTGATGGTGACTTTCTTGAAAAAACAGTAAAAACAAAACTAAACTTAGGATTCCTTTCTTTTGTGAATGTAAGAAGACACTTAATCATGAACTGTTACTAGAGGCAAATGAGGTTGTGAAAGGAACGATGCCGTTCCTGGCGGCGCGTTGTGTGTAATTGCACACCCACATTCACACACGCACTCACCCCCCCCCCCCCCCCCAACCCCCCACCCCCTCTGACCCTCTTCACCCTGGAGGGGCTGCGACCACCGTGACCCCCTTCACCCTGGAGAGGTCATTCTCACCTTATCGCACCTATGTTTTAGATATGAGTTGCCCGCGCTACGAACGGAATGGGTTATTTGACAGAAACAAATATGCTCAATACTTCGGCAAATGTCATCGAATGAATAAATCTCGAATAGATTTGAAAATTTAAAATTTCGAATAAACGGATGTCGAATAATTTTTGAATGTTTAAAAATTGTTCAAATGGACATTGAATGAATTCCAAACTTGAAAATTTCGAATAAACGAATTTCGACTAAATTCGAAATTTAATTTCGTATAAATATTAGGTTGTCCCATGAGTCTTTTCATTTTCGAACTTTCGCTGTAATAAGTCACACATTTCCTATTCTAACTAGACATTAGGATACCATTCGATAAAGCAAAGCAAGCTCTATAAGATAGCGTCAATGCTTTTGCACCAGCTTCAGTCCACCTCAAGTTGTGAACCAGAATATGAAAAGTTTTAGATGCCCGCAAATCTTATTTTTAGTATCTTCGTTCAAAAAATTTCTACAGATCTTTCACTCGCTCAAGCATTTACACTCCACATCAGACACGCATATGTGCTGTTGCAGTATTCTTTTACCAGCTAAAAATCAAGAAACCGAAAATTTCCATGTTTTTACCAAGGTGGTGCTGTGCTGTTCTTACACTAACGGTTGCATACTACAAGTCCTTAAAAGTACATCGCCAATTTTTAGCTCTCTGTAAGCTCTGGTTTTCCAAAAATGTTGAGTTAAGCATAAAAGACCCGAATGAGGAAAACTAAACTCCATATTTCTTGGAGAGTAGAGCTTATAGAGAGCCAAAATTCTACGGTAGTACTTCTAAGGGCTTGCAGTATACAGATGTTAATGTAAGAACAGCAGCGCATCATTTTGGAACACGAAAATTTTTGGTTTCTTGATTTCTAGCTAAAAAAAAGATTCAGCAATAGCACATATGAATGTCTGATGTGGAGTGTATATGCGTGAGCGAGTGAGAGATCTGTAGAACTTTTTGGAACGAAGATATAAGAAGTTTTCAATTTTCTGGGCATCTAAAACTTTTTAGATCCTGGTTCACAACTTGAGGTGGACTGAAGCTGGTGCAAAAGCATTGACGCCATCTTATAGAGCTTGCTTTACTCTATCGAATGGTATCCTGATGTCTATTTAGAATAAGAAGTGTGTGACTCATCACAGCGAAAATTCAAAAATGCAAAGACTTATGGGACAACCTAATAAATACCCAATAAAAATCGGAACGAAAACTTCAAGTGAATGAATGTCAATCAATGTCAATTATATTAGAACATTGAGGGTCGGACTTCGAATAAATATTTGAGTGAATTATACGAATGGCTGGATATCTAGAAAAATCATTGAAATGTACAATTATTTGAGTGCTTCATTTGAATATCTAGGACAACATCCAAAGGTTGCTGACATACTCGGTTCGTCGAGGTAACTCTGCCCCAAATTCAAATAATTCGAATACGAATTTCAATCATATATGAATTCGAATGAAACGTTCAAATGAATGAACCTTCATTTGAATATCCGAATAACAACATGATTGCCTTCTTTTTTTCAAATCTCGGCAATTAATGTAGTTTTATTTGTCAGTTGTGAAATTAATTGACTGTTTGACATGCGGTGACGCTTACATTGAAAAAAACGGAAGAGCACTTGATGTGAGGATGAAGGAACATTAGCCAATAAGAGAAACTGTAGTCATCACCTGTTGGAAGGCATAAGCCAATGATGACGGTAACAATGACTATCTAGTCAAATGCTCCATTATGGCTTAGGAACCAGATATTTCTGCGCGGAAGCCCTCGAAGCCTTCTGGATCTCTCATAGGAATCCGCAGAAGCTGAATCAATCAGCTGAAGTTGAAGGCTCCTTTCGCTACCAATTTCATCCTGGAATTTCAAAACTGTCAATTCTCTTATACAGATCCATTTCGAAGCACTAAGACTGTTCTGGTGTTCATAAGAGCCTTCACTCCAATCACCTCTAAGGCTGCACTTTTTCACCCCATCCGCCAAATCTCTGCAATTATTCGAAGTCAAGTCATTTGCATATCATCGTGTCCAGGAAGTCTCGTCCTTTCGATTGAGCCTAATTGCAGACTCAAGCATTGACTGCAGGCTGAGTTTCAAGCCTGCAAAGCGGTACAAGCCAGTGGTGAGGTGCAGCTGGGGTCTTGTGCAAGCACTGCCAAGGGCCATTTTTAGCAAAGAAACTCATCAGCACACCTCCGATGCATAGAGGATGGCAAAGAGCATCTGTTTCATCCAAACGGCTTTTTTGGGATGTCTTGAACAGGTTTCCGGGTGAAGCAATTTGGCTTGATAAAGGAAATTGGAAGTTATTTTTTGAGAAAAGCAAAATAAAACTCAAGCTTGCGTTTTTTGGGAAGGCAGCCAAAACCAGTGCGTAGTTCTTGACGAGCTCTGTATAGTAGCATGCTTACCCGTTCGGATAACTTGTGTTTTCGCTTTAAAATAGCTTCAAAAGAAAATTTTCGCGTTCGAATAATTATTGTCCGCGACATTGTGACATCATTTTCGGGCTTTTTTTAGAAAAAGATTCTTAAAATTTTTAGAACACATGTTTCTCAAAAAGCTCAAAGTGTGGACTGTAGATCTTGAAGAGCTATATCACCTCATGCAATTATTACATTTTTTCATTTTTGTTTTCCCTTTAAAAAAGAACGATGAAAAAGGGAGAGGGGTTTGTCCGCAACTTTTTGGCGGTCACTGTATCTCTATATATATAAAGCAGAAAATCTGTGAGTGCGTTTGTGTGTTTGTGCACATTCGGGTGCAGGTTGGAGGTTGTGCAGGTTGTGTAGGGTATGCAGGGTGTGCAGGGTGTGCAGGGTGTGCAGGTTGTGCAGGGTGTGCAGGGTGTGCAGGGTGTGCAGGGTGTGCAGGGTGTGCAGGGTGTGCAGGGTGTGCAGGGTGTGCAGGGTGTGCAGGGTGTGCAGGGTGGGCAGGGGGTAAGTGAACATGCTGTTCGAATACATTATTTACACAGTGTGTGTGTGTTCTTCGAAAGTCGTAGGTGTGTTCCAGCCAGCGTTCTTAGCCCAAATTTTGCATAGCGCATGCTAGCTTCATGGAAGTCCAACATGCAAAAGCACGAGTGGATTCTTTGAGTGGATCCCTCAGAAATTGCGCGCCAAACGGATCCACCTGACTTCTGCCACGCAAAATTGAATCCGTACCACCACTTTTTGCAAAGTCGTGAATCTAAACGTTTTTGATAAGTAAATGTGCAGACGATGGACTGCAGCCCGAAAAGTGGTCCAAAGTTTACTTATGACAAAAACGGCGCCAAAATAATTGGTTGCGTAAATGGTCAATTTGGCCAAGGTTCTGACCAAGCATTTGAGAAGATTTTCGCACAGGGATGTAGCTCACGGGGACCATTGCCCTTATGGCGACTACCAAGCCATGACAAATTCAAAAACCTATTCAATTTTGCGTCTTCCTGCGAAAAGCTTCATCCACGCGAAACCACCGATCTCACATAAAAAAACTTTCTAAATGAGTGGTTGTTTACATTTTATTCGTGGTTGTCGGCATAGCGCGGTAAGTTCCAGTGCCACGATTTTACGAGAATGAGTGGGGCACATATCGTTTGTTCGCCAGCAAGATTCCCATAGGTATAGTCCCCTCCACAGATCGTGCTACCCTTGGTCTGCGTCTCAGACCTGCCTCGTGTGGCTAACATGTTAGCAACGTGGCAACAACATGTTCGCAACATGCCCCAACATGTTGGGAGAACATTTTGGCCACGCCAATTGCTGCATGTTGCCGACGTGTTGCTGCCAACGTTGCCAATGTGTTAGTCACACGTGGCACGTCCGCGATGCCACAAGAGTAGAACGATCTGTGAAGGAGACGATACCGCGTCATCTCGCTGCCTTTCACTTTTTTGAACGTGTTAACTTCGGGCAGTTCCGTTAAAATCTCAGGAGAAACGTATCAAAAACAGCGGAAGGCAGCGCCGCCAAGTACGCTGGTTCACATGAGGCCTTTTTTGGGGCACCCAGGATAGATGATAGAGCCAGTGCGAGCCACTGCGAAGCAGAGGGGCGCACTGATGTATATAATAAAGATTCTGATCATATTATTGTGTTCATATAAAGTAGGACAATCACGGTGGAGGGTTCAGTTGAGGAGAATGCACCTCCTAAAATTGGCAGGTCATGCGACTTGATCGTCTCGCAATTTTCTTGACAAGGCAACTGTCACATAGATACACTGCATGCGGATCACTTTGCATTTGGATTGTGATGGTTTTCCGACGCGACTAATCGCGAACTATTACAACAATTCAAGGTACAATGGACTCCTAAACTGTGCTCTTTTTAGAAGAATTGCGAGAAATTGAATGCGTGATGTATGCAAGGCCCTGAGAATTTCAGCCGGGGTCATCATAATATAATCATGCGTATGCCAATTGTAGTAATTATCGGTTCAGTGGTGCGCGTTTCTTCAACGAAGTAACGAAATGACAGCATACTTACAAAGTTAGATAGATAGTAATTTAGACAGTAATGGGGTACCGATTTCAAGATAGTAATTTTATGGAGTGCAGGTCGACTTGCACGACCGTAATGCTTTCTACACAGGACCATCGTGCGCGACACACCGCGCGGCATCATTTGCCTAAGCAGAGCCAGGGGAAGGAAAGATTTGCAGCGTGTATGACGAGTTAAAAGCGGTGTCCGGGTAGAAAGTCGATTTTGAGATTTTGTGCCTCCCGAGTCAACTATGCCGAATTCGCTATGCCGAATTGGAGAATCCACCTGGAAAGCGCGAAAAGGCGAAAAAGGCTTTTAAAAATCAGCAGGTGAGCGGGGTCTTCCCCACTGTGGATTCAAACTACCAGCTTCCAGAGTGATCTCCTCGATTCCGGTTGCCGCCCTGACATCACCGGCCAAGTGCAAACGCAAGACTTGAAATCGGAACCGAGAAGATAACCCAGAAACTGGTAGCGTGAAAACCATAGTGGGAAAAACGCCGACAACCTGCTGATTTCCTCCTGGTTAAAGTTCTTTTTCGCCCTTTTCTTGGATGAATGAGGATTTTGGATTCAGCATAGTGAATATACCCGGGTAAGCACAGTATCTCAAAATGGACTTTTTGCCCGGACACTGCCTTCAAATCGGGTAAATCAGGGTGGCGCTGGCGACCGCCCGTGCGATGAAGCCGTCTCCCAGTTTCATGCTTTTCGCAACATTGTATGAAGGGTTTAAAAGATCTACGTGCAATATGAAACTTTTTTATACTTTACAAAAGTCCGATTTCTCGAAATATTTAGGTTGATGCAAAAATAATAAACGTTTTTCTAGGACTTTTTCCAGGAGAACTTTTCTCCATCAAACTTCTTTCTTGAAACGGTTTCAGCAGAATGTTAGGAAATCTTTTCATGCTCTTTCTAATGATTATAAAAGGAACTTCTAGCCTACTCCAAAAGATCGCACTCAAAACCAGATTTTCGCTGCATTTATTTTTCCTGGGCGGAATTTAAGCGCAAATAAATACACTTTTTCGTAAAAATTTAGCCACTACATGTAATAGAAATTGTCTATATTATGCAAACTTAATCATTTTTTGAAATTCTCTAAAGTGAGATAATGACGCCTTTGGGCAATGGTTGCAGTCATTTTAGAGCCCATAACTTTCTTTTGTAGAATGCAGTCGCTCAAACTTTGCTTGTTTCTGTAAGCGTGAGGATAGGGATCCTGTTGACAGTTTTAGCAAAGACATTTAATTGTTCAGTGCGCAGAAAATTAGAAAATTCTATACTTTGGGATTTTGAGACCTACTGAAACAATGCTGAAAAAGTTGACATTTTTGGATTTCGATTTTTTTCTACTTCGCTAATCTATTTCTCCAAGCCCTTTTCATGGGCTATGTGTTGTGTACTATTTATACTACTGGCTGGTATTTGTACCACTGGCTTGCGGCTACAAGATGGGCTGCTTATAAATCATAGTAACAAAGTGTGGAAGGTCATGTTTTGTCAAAAACAAGACCTCCGAAAAAACTTTTTTTTTTGTTTTTCATTCCATATTTTTCTGCCCATGAGATATGAGTGTAATTGTGCGCCTATTGCAAAAGGTTCGCTGCATCTGATGGTCTTTATCACATTTCAAAATGTAGATTTTATAGAAAGTTATAGATAAAGTGAAGAATGGAAAAACGCTCATTATTTTTGCATCATCCTAATACATTTGCTAATCTACGTTTTCAAAGAAAAATTGGAAATAAAATGTATATGCAATTTTTTTGCAAATTTTCACTAATCAAATTCAAAACTTCCCACCGCACCTTGATAAATAAGGTTGTAACTATTCGGTAAAGTTGATGTGACGAAGATAAGCAATCGAATAGAAAAATTAAGAGTAATTCATGATAATTCACTAGTTTTGCTTTTTCAATTTTATCATGACCAGGGGGGAAAAGGAGGAGATGTCAAAGACAAGTTCTCCTCTAGAAAATCGTCTGAGAAACGAAGCTGAAAGCCCGCACTCATTTGAAAGTTAATGTTACAAAAAATCGCAAATAGAATCTAGACGAGGAGGGCGCTTACTGTTAGCTTGCTATACCGTCCACTCTCCATGAACAATAATACCATCACCGAAAGTCACTATGTTTAGGACCTCCACCAAATCCTGCTTTCGTAACTATCACTTTTGGTGGAGATGCTGTATGTATGGTGTGTCCGCATTGCAATCAACAGGTGATTCATTTTCAGTCAGCTTTGCTTGCTTGCTCCAGCAGGATTCAAACATGGCTTGCAGATCATCACTAGAATCTCCCCCAGACCTGGTGCATTTGCGTACTTCTTGTGCGTCATTATGATTTTATTTGGGTAAGCGCTCTAACCCGACAACGTACAATGAACATTTGTCATATCACATGCAAATTGAGATGCTGGTTGTGCTGCTTCATTCCATTTTGCATCGAAGGATGCCAGGTTTGATGCATGTGGGAATTTTTGCAAACACGTTGGCTTACTGTTTAGGATACTGAACATAGGTGTCCAAACTGCGACAGAGTTTTGGGAATCTATCGAAGGATATAAATAACATCTTCGTAAAACAGATCGCAAGTTTGTACCTTACGTCAGGGAATACCCACAAGTTGTTGTGCTTATGTTGCTGGACTGTGATTGATATTGATTTTCCTTTTTTTGAAATAAGAGCTATGACAACTGTTTGCGTAGCTGATTAGAATACTGACACCAAAAGCGACACTAATAAACGCACTTATCGTTGCAACAGAAGGTATGCGTCAATTTGCTATTGTTTTCAGTAAATTTCTCTTATGATTGTAAGCGCACAATCAAACAAGCTTATTCACCAAACGGTCTACTAATTGAGAATCTCAACGCAATAGCGCCATTTGAGTCTCCTTGGTTTTGAAATCTATCTTATATATGAAGCTGAATGTCTGTTTGTCTGTCTGTATGTCTGTCTGTCTGTACGTATGTTCCGAATAGAAAATTCCCTTTCTGAACCGATCGGGACCAAACTTGGCACACATACACTTCGGGCCCCGGCGGGTGTCATAGGCTACTCTTCGTCATCGATCGATATCAATTTTATCGATTTTTTGCAAAATTTGAGCTACAGGGCTGGGAGTTGGCACAGGGGAGTAATCGAGCATGCTGGCAAACCCGGCTCCGCCCGGCCCTGTCAATAGCATATTTGTAATCAGCATGCTCGATTATCCCCCTGTGCCAATTCCCAGCCCCTTAGGTGAACTCTGCAAAAAAATCGATAAAAGTCGATAAAATCAATATCGATCGATGACGAAAATTAGCCTATGACACCCGCCGGGGCCGAAGTGTATGTGTGCCAAGTTTGGTCCGGATCGGTTAAGAAATGGAATTTTCTATTCGGAACATACGGCGGAGCCGGATAAGCCAGCTAGTATATATAAATAAAACCGAAACTCTGTAAATTTGTTCGTTAGTAAGTATGTGGCTTATAGACTTCTTTGTGTGTGAACCGATGAATCTAAAATTCGTCCCCCTATAAATAAAGCACGGCGGACAAGATAAGCTACTTTTTGCGACGATTTGTTGCGCCATTCAATCGATTTATTGATTTGTTTTAGATCGAGAGTTCACCAACCACTATTGGATCATTTCCTCACAGTCATGTAAGTCGGACAATAAAGTTCATTTACATTTCTCGGCGAAAAGGATCCGGTGTCTCAAGTCAGCAAGGAAGACATAACACGTCCCAGATATAGAGAAGAGCGGTAAGTCTCAACGCGTTTGAGACCAAGTAGCCCAATTCCCGGGCGGGACCGGGGACGCCATCTAGTATTCTTTTATAAAAAGTTTCGCTCCTTTACAGGTCAACTCACTACTACACGTGGTATAGTGACTCCTTTACAAATCAACTCACTCTATCTCGCTACTTGTTCCCAAACACGTTGAGACTTACAGCTCTTCTCCATATCTGGGACGTGATATGTCTTCCTTGCTGACTTGAGACACCGGGTCCTTTTCGCCGAGAAATGTAAATGAACTTTACCGTCCGACTTACATGACTATCAGGAAATGATCCAATAGTGGTTGGTGAACCCTCGATGTAAGCAAACAAATCAATAAAGGGCCCAACAAATCTTCGCAAAAAGTAGCTTATCTTGTCCACCGTGCCTTATTTATAGGGGGACGAATTTTAGCCTCATCGGTTCAACACAAAGGAGTCTATAAGCCACATACTTACTAACGAACCAGAGTTTCGGTTTTATTGAAAAAATTCATATTTTCGTCCAAGGAAAACATGCCAGATCTTCCACTTGCTCACGCATATACACTCCACATAAGACATTCATATATGTCGTTGCTGTATTTATTACTGGGCTAGAAACCTAGAGAACTAAAAATATTCAAGTTTTCAAATAAGCGATGTAGTGATGTTACTACATAAGGAAATGTATATTGCAGCCCATGTAAATAAAACAGTATATTTTTAGCCTTCTACAAGCGCTCGCTTTCGAGAAATTGATTTTAGCTTTTTCGCCAGAGTCTTTCATCTCAAAACCTATATTTCTCAATAAATAGAGCTTGCAGAAAACTGAAAATCTGCTGATGTACTTTTGAAAGCTTGTAACTTAAAAGCTCGAAACGTTAATTTTCTCGGCCTTTGCTACAGGAAACGAAAACAACGGCATATATAAACGTCTCAATGGAGTGAGTATGCGTGAGCCAGGGCCCGACACGAGTCGGTTTCTAGGGTTTGAAAACGAACTCCCCCTGATTTTCGAAAGTTTTACGAAGTCCCTTTTGACCTACCTACTTAGGAGAAGATAAAAACGAGAGGTTTACTAGACTGAAAGAAAAAACGTGAGATAAGAGCAAAAATCCTGGTTGGAGCTGAATACTACGCATGCACAAGAGTTTGGCACTGGAGCGCGATATTTGACAAAGCGATTCATGAAGAAATTATGGCAAAAAACAAAGGAAAGGCAATATGAAATTCTCTTCATGCTCAGGGATAGATTTTTGACCGGGAAATCCGTCCATGATAGAAAAATCCGAAACTCATGTAAAATGACGGAAATATATGCTCCAAACTTTCTCAGATCGTCTGGTGACCGTCTGGAGACGGACTAATTTTGGAAAAGGTAATACCTCACATAAGTTTTCAAATCTTTCTGCGCAATTCTTTTGCAAATGATATTCTATGTGTACAGTTCAATTTTGGTGTCATATGCTTCTGTGTGCGCTGTAAACAAGCAATTTGTTTATTTTGGCCGTGCTTTCAAATCGCGCACACTTTTCGCCATACACGATTGAGCATGTTAATCATGTGATAACCTGTACGAAAAGCTTGTGTTCGACTAAATGACGCTTGTTCTCGGTGCTCGGGCAAACAGTGTGCTTTCAGACGATCCATGCCGGACCCTGGCGTAAGCGAGTTAGAGACCCTGCGAATTTCCTTTGGACAAAGATATGAACCTTTTTCGAGCATTAATTCCGAATTTCTTAGTTTTCGGCTTCCAAATCGAAATGTATTGAAGCTGATGCCAACGCTTACATGCTCTTTTATAGAGCTTTCTTTGTTTATTGAACGGTTTCATTCAGGCTAATTAGAATGAGAAGCTCAACTTATTGTGGTTTGAAGTCAGAATTGAAAAACTTGTGCAACAACCTAATAGATGATGAACACAATTGGATTAGAATGGAAATAGGTAATCCGAATGTAAGTCTTGACCAGTAAATCTTCATTAGGAAAATGGTAATATTAAGTTGGTCCGAAAGTTCTGTTGCACCATTTCCTAAAAATCGTAACTTCTCATTCTCACAATGTTTCCGCTTAAAGCTGATTTCATTGGAAAGAATAAGTCATGCTCTTTTTATCTACGCACTGAGCTGCCTACCATGCTATGAATGCGGAGATAAAAATGGGAAAATAAATATGCTTTAGGTTCGGAAATTTGGCAAGCCCGTTAAAAACTAAAAACTGTGCAATAAAATATAAAACAGTTAGCATAATAAGTTCTCTGACCTCCTTTTTCTATATGGGCAAAGTTTGAGCTTATCGAGCTCCTGTTTAAAGTTATGATTTTCGAGAAAAAACCTCGAAAAACCAATTTTCTTAAGGGATTGACTTATTTGGATTTTCTGCCGAAAATCATAACTTTCTAGAGAGGAGCTCGATTAGCACAAACTTTGCTAATCTAGAAAGAGGAGGTCAGAAAACCAAATACGCTGGCTGTTTTGGATTTCACTGCAGTGTTTTTGAATTTTTAACGGGCTTGGCTCAAAATTCCGAACCTGAAGTGATTTTTTTCCATTTTTATCTCTGCAACTACAACATAATAGGCTGCAGTCGAGGTGTCCCTAGAAAGTGCATGCTTTGCATTTTTCAGTAAAATTAGTATCAGGAACATTATGAAAAAGAAGTTACTTTTTGAAAATGGTGCGACAGAACTTTTGGACCAACCTAATAGGTAATCCGGATATAAGTCTTGACCAATGAAATCTTATTAGAACATTGATACTTGCGTTTTTTCGTGGCTAGACACATCCGCCAAGATTTTCACTGTTTTATCTGAACTTTTTCTTCTCGCACCACAGTCGATACCTCTCATGTTGTGTGAAATCACGAGCTGAAAGTGAACAGAGATAGATTCGCTGATATTTTGAGTCGCAAATAATTAATATTGATCTCGGCAATAGAATTAACGTTTTTGGTTGACTTCGATGTGCAACTGCTGTGCAACGTCGTAGGCCCGCTCAAGACATCTGTCAAACGAAAGTTTAATTTGTATCGAAGACTTCGAATACAGTTCCATGTACGAATAGCGGCAAAATACGAAGAAAAAATGTGACAGAAATTGCGTATACAAACAGAAATGACAGACATTCCGACAAGAAAATGCGGATTGACGGTGACCAGCTTTATGTGAGTTGGTGATGCACAGTGGCCCCGCCACGACCTGTCAGGTGCAGCAATCATTTACAGCAAAAATGCAACGACCGCGGAATCTGTTCTGTGCACAGTTTCTGATCGTCCCCTCGGCCTAGCGTATCTAGGTTTTGCCTTGTCCTCGAAGACGACATTCAAGACACTTACACCTTCTTGCCAATCGCTGTCTTTCGCTCACCAACAATTGCCGTACAAAAAAAGAGCTGCAATCACCAGTACTGATGCCAACACATGGGCAATTCGCGAGCATAGGTTTGCGCTTTAGTGGTTCAGCGGCAGAAAATGGCTAAAACCTGCACAATATTACAACAAAGAATACAACAGTACAAGCAGAGTTTTGGAGCATGAAAGATTGCAAAGAGAGGCCTTCTTTTTTGAGCTGTCTGCTTAGAAATCCGAAAGTCGCCTTATTGCAATATGCAAACACAGCTCGTGCCTCTACAGAGTGTAGTATAATGGACGACATAAAACGGAATTGCACCTATGACTGGTAAAGTATCCTCCAACTTCTTCTTTCCTGCTATTTATCTTGCTTACAACCGGTTGATGCACTTACTCTCTCCACTTTTTTTACTAAAGCACGTTGGGGCTGGTGGGGTAGCACATCATGATAAAGAGGTAAACATCTTCAAGACCGCAAAAGGAAAATTACTCAACCTGGATCTGTCAGGGCTGCGGACTTCTGTACACCATCAAGTTGAAACTCAATTTCGAGTTCAAAGACAACAGGATATCGCTTTGAGCAAGCCTAATCTCGAAAATTGTGAACTTGTTCCTTCTTCTTGCAAAGCTTAATAGGT